GGTTCAAGCCTACCCTCCCTGATGAGTATTTTCCCTTTCTCCCTCCCTGCTCCCTCCCCGCCTACCCTCCCCCCAGCCGTCACTGCTGCTGGCTCGTGTCTTCTCTATCTTTGTCAACAGGAAGCCCACCCCGGGCGGCGACAGCATTGATCTGATCACACGGTTCAAGCTTGACTGTTCCTCTCTCCTCTTCCGGCTCTTTCCCTACTCCCCGCCTACCCCCTCCCTCCAGCCGTCACTGCTGCAGGTGCTCGTGTCTTCTCTATCTTTGTCAATGGGAAACCCACCCCAAATGGAGACAACGTTGACCTGATCAAGTGGGGCAAGGCTTCCAAGGTGGCGCTCTTCAAGACCGTTGATTGGCAGCTGGGGCCGGACGAATCGACGGTGGAGATTGTGCTGGCGGGTGCTGAGGGCGCATCCAAGGGCCCCACTGTTGCGGGGTTGGAGGTGTTCCGGCTGGTGTCCAGAGGGCCTCGCACCAACGCGGATGAGTGTGAGTTTGTTTCCGAGTTTTGAGCTAAGAAGGGAAGGGAGTTCCCTCTCCTAATGAGTGTGAGTTCTAGAGGTCGGAGCTTCGAAGGAGTGGGAGTGTGGGCGTTTCACGAGTAGTTGCAGAGGTCTGAGTTGCGAATGGAGTGGTAGTTAGGTGCGATTGCGGTGTGCGTGCAAGGCATACTACAGTAAATAATTTGTCTCAAACCCCCTCTTCTCCACCATCCAGTTCCTCCCGCCTCCTACCTCCCCATCAGCCAGTCAAGCTGATGAGGAAGATCCGCGATGCTCTGGTGGTGCCGGAGATGAGCAACTGGCAGGGCGACCCCTGTGCGCCCATTGCTGCTGTCGCTTCCCCACATCTCACCCACTCCAACCCACTCTCACCTCTTCTAACCCCCCCAAAACGTCCTCCCCACTCCCTACACCCCCCCCCTTCAACGCCAGTCAAGCTGATGAGGAAGATCCGCGATGCTCTGGTGGTGCCGGAGATGAGCAACTGGCAGGGCGACCCCTGTGCGCCCATCGCCTGGCCGGGCGTGGGGTGCCGGCTCACAGAGAAGAACGACTTCAGCATCACGGGCATGTGAGTGTGCTGAGGAATGCATGTACGAGTATGCATGTGGGTGCGGGTGTGGGTGTGGGTGTGGGTGTGGGTGTGAGTATGCATGTGGGTTGAGGGTGAGGGTGTGAGCCAGGGTGTATGTGTGGGTGTGGGTGAGATTGTGGATATGAGCGTGACTGTGTGTGTGGGTGAGGGTTGGATCATGGGTTCATGCGGGTCACAGAAGAACGGCTTGAGCAGCACGGGCATGTGATTGTGGCGCAGCTTTTACAAGTAATTGTGGGTAGAGGTGCTTTCTTGGGATGAGGGTGTAGTGTACATGTGTCCCTGACAGAGGTTACGAGTAACATTTGCACCTCGAAGTTACCAGTACACCATAAAGATCACAGGCTTGTGAAATGTTCACACCCCATGAACAGCATCCCATCTTGATCCCATCTACCGCCCCTCAATTCTGTTTCTCTTTCTCTGACTGCAACCCTTGAAATCGCTCCCTCCCATCCCATCCCAACCTCCTCAGTACGCTGTCAGCAGCAGAACTCTCGGGTTCGCTGCTCCCTGACATTCACCTGCTCAAGAACCTGCAGTACCTGTGAGTAATGGCTTGGGTCGCTGTGAGGCCTTTGGATAATGCGTTCCTTGTTGTTGCTCTGTATATTTCTCAAGTACCTGGAGTACCTCGCAATCTTTGTTATACTGTATTGTTTTGCTTCTAGCCAAAATTTCCGTGGCCGTTTTCCGCATGTCATGTTAATGTGCATGTGTGCAGGAACCTGAGCAACAATCACATCTCGGGAGGCATTCCACAGACACTCATCAACCTAGAGCAGCTCACCATGCTGTAAGTGCGGAGGCAGCTGATGCTGATGCCTAGTGTACATCTGATTTACAAGTAGGAAACACTATGCATTCCGCGGACACTCATCAACCTGGAGCAGCCAATGTTCTCTAGCTCTCCAACCCCTCCCCTCTCCCCTCCCGTTTCTTAGCACATGCTCACCAGAACCCCCCGTCGTCTGACCTTCTCCCTATTGTCCTTCTCCTGGCCCTTTCCTCCGTATGTCCTGATCTCCCCGCATCCTCACCACCATACCCCAGGGACCTGTCAGCCAACGATCTCAAGGGCTCCATCCCTCGGGGCTTCAGCAGCATGCCTGCTCTCAAGATTCTGTGAGTGCCTTGGACAGCTCCTGCGTTCGCGTGTGCCTCGTTGGGGATGCAATTGTCTGTACAACAAGCCAGTTGTTGGGGATCCACGTGTCACCATGGGTTACGATTATTGCTACAAATACCGGGCTGTCAGGAGTTTACCTTGCCCTCAACGCGTACTCTTTCTTCCCAATACCCCTTCATCCCTCACCTCCTTGCCACCTGCTCCTCTCTTCCCTTTCCCCGTCTCTCCTTCTCACTCCGTGCCACTGTTCTTCTTCCCCGGCCCTGTTCTCTCCTGTCCTCTGCCACTGTTCTCTCCTGTCCTCTGCCAGTGACCTGCACGACAATGAGCTCACAGGAGGTGTGCCTGCCGATCTCTTCCCGCCTCCCCCCGGCGTCATGATTGAGTGAGCCCCCTTGTTGCCCTATTGCCTCATTTGCCTCTTTCCTTCCTTTCTGCTGTTCATTAGTGCTGTGATGCTTTGTAGTATAAGCATTGGCTGTATTGATGCTATCCATTTTGCGAATCACTGGCCACACCTATGACAAAACATAACTTTCCAAACCCCCGCACTTCACTCCCCCACTCCCCCTGCCAACTTTCCTCTTCCCAATTTCTCTAACACCCCGGATGTGTGTGGCACCACCACGCGGCCAGCCTGTGAGGCACTGGGCAGGACGAGAGTGACCAACATCACAACCTTTCCTCCTCATTTCCCCCTTTCTCCCCAGTTCTCCAACAACCCGGATTTGTGCGGCATGACCGTGCGGCCAGCCTGCGAGGCACTGGGCTTGTCGTGAGTGAGCAACATCACAACCTTACCAATCCCCTTTCCCCTCCTGGACTCCCATCACTACCTACCTCTCCCTCTCCCAGTTTCTCCAACAACCCGGATGTGTGTGGCACGACGACCCGTCCAGCCTGTGAGGCGCTGGGCGGGCCGGGAGTGAGCGACATCACGATAGTGCAGCCGACGTCTTCATCAGTCTCATCCACCCAGATCGTGTGGATCATCACCGCGTGCATTCTCGGTGTGCTGCTGATCATTGCTGTCGTGGTTGCCATTCGTCTCATCTTCTTCCAACCGCACCTACCACTGGAAGATGACGACAATGGTGAGCCGCATCCCCCTCCTCCCTTCCCCACCCCTCCCTCCCACCCTCTCCCACCCCCCCCCCCCCCCTCCCCCCTTTCCCCCCCTCTCCCCTCACTTCCCTGCTCCACCCAACCCTCCCCATTCCCCCTCCCTCCTCCCCTCAACCCCGTTCCCTCAACCCAACCCAAACTGCCGCACCACTATCACCAAAAGCCAGGGGACTTTGCACTGGCTGAAAAGTACTCATTGTTGCCGTTGTAGTTGCCTTTTGCCTCATCTTCTTCCAACTCCTTGTAGCTTTTCTCGACGGTGGGCGCTCACGTTGCCTTGCTTGTGCTGTAGTATAACACGTTAAACTGATGTCATAACATCTCCACCCCTTTTGCAGGAAATGGTGGGTTCTATAGCAATGCCCACCGAGGTCACTTCTTGGAAGATGAAGAGCCACCATATGTCGCCACTTTGGACGAGGAAGCACGCTAGTTACACCAATGAATGGCCCCTGGTTTAAGTAAGGGCATGTGCAGTGCTGTCTACCGATGGCGCTGCAATATGGCATTCACATATACGGAGCAATGCATAAAGTGCTTGTTTTCCACTTTATCTCTTGAATCACCATTTTACATCGCAATCCAGTAGCATTCATATGGGGTTGCAATACAGTTAGGGCATGTTACCGTAGGTATATACTTCTGCTTCTTGTTTGATAGATTTTTAGTATTGTATCTTGGTTTTCTTGCGCTGAACATTTGCCCAACCACTTCAATACAGTAACGTGTCAAAAATCACTCAACGCCGTCAAGCGAAGCAGTGAAAACGTGGATTTGAAATGACTTTCGGAGCCACGGACGTTGGCCGTCGAGTTTTCCTGCAAGCCCACAGTTTCTCACCTTTTGATGGTTGGTGTGAATGAACCTAGCTGTCAAGTCGAACAGATCAGACGGTCAACGACTTGGCGGTGTGGTCTGGAGGAAAGTGGAGACGTGGCCGAACCACTGGGACCAGGGATTATTGTTGGAAGGACGGCTACAATCGGCTGCACCCTGCCCGATGAACAATCTTGGTGCACAATAACGGTCGATGAGAGATCAACAATCGAAATCGACGGTGAAGAAGAGTTTCTAAGTTGTTGGTTCATCCTACCCAACGGACTTCCCCTTGTACAGAAAGGATTCTGATTGGCTGCATACAAGAAATGTACGGTAAAGTACGTTTTGAGAGGAGGTTACAACGGTAATGAGCTCTACTCCGAGCTCGCTGGCCTAGTCGGACCAAGGGTTGCTTTGATTCGAAGGGTACGTCAGGAAGGTGGTTTCTTCTCCCCTCTCCATGATCCCCCCATGCGATCCCATCCCATCCATCCATCCCAACTTTCTTCTCGGAACTCGCAGCCTCCGGAACCCCCACCACTATCAATCATACAAATACATAAAATCGAGTACCACGAGGAGGTCGATTCTGTCCGTGGTCAGAAGAAGTAAAGTTACACTGCAAGAGACAAGCCGCTAGATTTGAAGCAGGATTTGTTACCCGTCCTGCAAATTTAGTAAGGCATTCTTCCAGTAATCGTCCGAGAGTGATCATTTGGATAGGCAAAGGGACTGAACAAACCGTTGACATAATAGCCTCTATTTATTACCGTTTGTTTATTCACCGTTTATTTCAATAAACTTCTGCGTCAGCCTGCCAGAATGTACTCAGATTCCTTCCACCGCTCACCCTCAAGCACCTCGTCCGAAGATCTCACGTCTGAAGCGAGCTATGCGACTTCCTCCAGTCGCAGCTCCGTGAAAGTGCCTAAGCTGAGGTCCGGAAAGGTCAGTTTCACTGATTCCTCTTTTTTGTTGTTGTTTCTGTTTAACGTCTCTTTATTAACCCTCCAATCCGGAGTCGACTGTAAGGTAGCTACTGCACGACCTCCTCCAGTCGCAGCTCCGCGAGGGTGCCTACGCGATAGGACGGGGTGGTTAGTCCCTTGGCTTCGCCCTCTGTGTGTGTGTGTGTGTGTGTTTTTTTTTTTGTCTCCTCAACACTCCTCCCCGCAATTTTTAATATCGGTTGAAAGAGAGCGACGTGGCTTATTCCAGTCGTAGCTCCCTGAAACCACACAAAGCTACGCTGTTATATCCTGCATGCATTCTATGTTTTCTGTCGCCGCCTATCGTTTTCTATTTTGAATTTTAAAACCTGTATCACTTTCTGTTCCCATCGTCCCTTCCCTCATCTTAGGCTCCAAGAGTCTTTTAAAACCATACATGCCTTGCCAACAAACCACTTATTGCCCTTCATTTCCTCATCTGCGTGCCTTTTTTTTTTTTTTGACTGCCTTAAACATTGTCTTCAGGGTCCTCATCCTTCGGCGGCGCTTCCCATGTTTGGAACATGGAATTTTCAAGCTTCAAAGAACCCGGAAGAGGCGGCGGCAGCGGCGGCGGCGGCGTCCGCAGCCGCGCGCTTGCGCTGCGCGCCGAGCGTGCAGACCCATGATCCCGAGATCGACGGGGGCGTGGGAAGCGGCGGCGCGGGCTTCACAACGATGTTTGCGAATAAGGGGAGGGAGAGACGAGCCATGCGGATTGTGGATGGGAGGATCATGGAGGTCCCCAGCGGGGGTCAGCAGGTATGGAGAGGGGGGGTTGGGGATGGAGAGGCGGGATGGGGATGGCGAGGGCTTCACAGCGATGTTTGCGAATAAGGGGAGGGAGAGGTGAGCTATGCGAATCGTAGATGGGAGGATCATGGAGGTTCCCAGCGGGGGTCAGCAGGTATGGAGTTGAAAAAGGGACCAGGATGGGGAGGAGGTATTGGGGGATGCGGGGAATCCTAGGGAGCACAGAGAAAGATCGTAAACACGGTGGGGAGGGGGGGAGGGGGGGTGGGGGAAGGGGAGGGGGGGAGGGGTCATCAATTTGGCGCCTGAGCGGCTGAGCCCAGCCACAACATTCAGGCACCCATATTCCTCTTGATCCCCACTCCCTCCTGTCCCTCACACCTACCCGGGCACCCCTTTCTCGCCCCCCCTACACCCTCCGCTCCCCCATGCTCTCTTTCCATTCTCGCCTCCCGATTTTTCTTCCACGTGTTTTGCCTGCTCCTCCCCTCTGCTCTTATCAGCTCTAAACTCCTCTAATCTTTTGATGCGCCGTTCCTGTTTCTCCTCTCTCCCGACCTGCACTACAGGCAAGCGTCACCATCTCCTCCTCCGGATCCTCTGAGTCTCGATCACCCAACCGTCTCCCTCACATACCACCCGATCATCCTCTCTACCACCTCTACAACTCCCCGCTCTCCGGCTCCCCGGACCACCTTCGCGAGCCTAACTCCCAGCCTCGGCAGTCGTACCTGCCAGGTCTGGCGCTTGAGCCAATCGCGTCCGACTCCACTATGCAGTCTGGCGGTTCCTCCCCCTCCCACTCCTCGTTTTCCCAGGATGGTGAAGACATCTCATGGGTACCAGCAGCCACTGTAGCAGGTTCGGCAGCAGTGGCAGTACAAGCAGCACCACCAGCACCGCCAGCAGCAGCAGCAGCAGCAGCAGCAGCAGCACCAGTACCAGCAGCAACAGCAGCAGTACCGTCTTCAAACATCCCCTCTGTAGCAACCTCTGTGGCGCCTCAACAGCCGTCAGCCTCTAAACCGTCTCTCGCTGAGTTGCAGTCGCTCAGGCTCAGGCTGGCTGCGGGGGAGAATCTTTCCCCTCTGGAAATGCAGCGACTCACTGAGGGGGTTCTTGCTCTCATGTCTACTCCTCCTGCTGCTGCATCTGCTGCCCCTGCTGCCGTTCCTGCTGCGTCTGCTGCTGCCGTTCCTGCCCCTGCTCCTGCAGTTCCCGCAGCTGCTGCTTTTTTTCCCGAGCGAAAACCAGCTTTGGCAAACGAGCCTGCGGGCCATGCCCGAGCCAGTCCCCCAGCCTATCACTTAGGCTCGGGTAGTGCGTCTGATTCTTCCCCTGAGTCTTCCCCTCCCCGTCGGCCCCTTCGCTACTACTCCCCAGTTCACCATTCCCCACACCGCCATGACTCTGCTGCTAACCCTTCCTTGATTTTCGAGGCTCCAGTTTGGGCTCGCGACGCCCCATCGTCCGAAGCTGCGGTCAGGTCCGGTGAAGGTTCGGATGGCCTTGGGGTCACTGTGGCTGCACCTGGTAATACTGTACCAGCACATGGCAATGTAGCAGCATCGGTTCCCGAACCTGGTTCCCAGCCTCGCGCCGCTGCTCAACCGTACCAAGCGGCCTCGGCAGCCCCCATTCCACATTATCCCATCCCGAACCTCCAAGATAAGCACACTCCGGTTGGCAGCCCCATTGACAAACACATGGCCGCTCTCTCCTCTTCTTCCACCTCCTCCCCTTCTTTCTCCTCTCCTGCTCCCCCTCCTCCGCCTCCGCCCTACGCTCTCCCGCCTTCCTCCTACAACCACCCCTCCCATGGCCATTCTGGCAACGGCCCTTCACCCATGGCGCTGTTGCCTTTGGAACCAGAAGAGGACGATGGGGGGTTCACCTGGGAGGGTTGGTCGGTAACAGGTGGGCCAATCAGGGAGCAGAATGGCGCTGCCTGTCCTGCGGCTGCTGCTGCTGGTGTTGCCAGTGCTGCTGGTGTTGCTGGTGTTGCCAGTGCTGCCAGTGGTGCTGGTGCTGGTGGGGATTTGAGTGCTGCGGACTGGGGTTATGGCGATTCGGGGCGTGCACTCGATGTTACCTTTGGCCTTGACGGCACTGGCAGCACTGCTTGCACTGCCATCAGCAGTGTCCCTTCCGCTGCTGCTCCTCAAGCTACCTTTGCTATATCTGGTAATGACACCTCTGGCATTGCTGCTGCTGCTTCTGCTGCTGCTCCTGCTGGTGCTGGTGGTGCCACTACCGCTGCTGCTGCCGCTGCTGTTGGTTCTGCTCCTGTTGCTGCTGTACCCAGTACAGGCTCACCCGCTATCAGATCAGCGCCTAGGATTCCCTACCAACTGCCTTACAGCGACTGGGACCAAGACACACAGCACTCCAAGGTGCGGTTTCAAGGGGAAATTGCCCACGCTGCTGAAGCTGCGGGATACACTCAGATGTTCCAGGACAGACAGGCGAGAAAGAAGATGCAGGGAGGGGCAGGGTTCGGGAACCTTGGAATGCCTGTGAGAGATCAACTTGGGAATACTGGTGCGGAGCGAACTGAGTGGAATGCAGGTGTTGCTGCTGCTCTGGCCGGGGTTAGTCCTCCTCCTCCTCCTCCTCCTCCTCCGGCTCCTCGTGCTGGTGGTTATGCTGCTGCTGGTGCAGGCCCTGGTGTTGGTGTTGGTGCTGGTGCGGGTGCTGCTGCTGCTGCTCTTCCTCCTCCACCGTATCTTGCCCATCCTTTTGCTGCCCCTGCTGCAGGAGGGCCAGGGGGGCCACTCGTGAATTATTCTGCGAATCCTGGCATGTACATTCCGCAGCCCCACACTGTGTTGGGATTGAATGGCCCTCCGCACGGCGCTCATGCAGCTGATGCTCACGGGACAGAACATGGAAGAGTTGGAATGCGACAAAAGGTGGGTTGTGATGGTATCTTGTGCGTTGGGTTTTGTTTCTGCGAGCTGATCTTCGAGTTGTTTTTCTGGAAAGGATTCATGCTGACATACCTTCTTTGGATGCTATTTGTGTGCAGATTGGAGGTTTCTTTGGGTTTGGAAAGAAATAGAATGTGTACTATGGTATTTATGCTGCAGTTTGCTGTATGTCAAGATGGCATTGTTTCAATATGAAATGGCTATTCTAGCACTAATGCAAGTTGATTTAAGTTTATTACACAGAAGTGTAGTTATCGCTGGCTTTTGTCGAGCTCTGACACCGTGTTTAGCGGCTGGGCAGTCACGTTCTGTCCATCCCATGAGCTTCCGCCGATTGGCGGCCTGCTCTCCTCGTACTGACACGGAATCGGCCGCGCTGCGACGACTCACTGGTCAAGCTTCTTGTCTGGTTCAGCCAACAGGTTCGGTAGCAGGTCTGGTTTGACGTATAGCCGTGGGATGACTTTTACCCTCGATGTAATCATCTTTTAGGTTTTCACATGGCTCACCAAACCCTTTCGATTTTCGGGACTTCGTCAAGCGATCAAATACAACCCATCGACGCCAATCTGGACGGTCGAAACGAACCAAACGGACCGCGAGGATGAAGGTCACATTTCGCTTCTGTCACTGGCACCATCGCTTGAAGCACACTGGTCTGAAGCCCCTCTCTGGCCCCGTTACGCAGCCGCGAACGCCTTGATTTGCGGCTCCGCGCTCGGCATCTCCGTGCTCCTTCCGCATTCCGCGCGGAGCTATCTGCTCACTTCCGCCGGCTCCGCTCCGCTGACTGGTGTCAGCGTCACCCGTCGGCCAGTCACTCATTCCCCCTCCCCCCTAATCACCCTGGTTCCGCTATCTTCACACTGAGACTTCCGCCAGCCCTCCCCACGCGTGGCCAACCCACGCGCCCCGCCAGAACAGACCCTGGGGAATAGATTCCCTTGAACTTGTCTTCTTGGGAGGGAACTCTACAAGCAGATCGAACTGTGAAGAAACTGAAGCATCTAGGGGACTGACTGAGGAATCTGTCTGCTTTTTCTGGATTGTTAGAGCTTTCTGTCATTCGGTCCCTGGAGTTTACCTATTTTCCCTTCGTTTCTAGTCCAAATCTAGTTCCGTGCTGAGTTATCAATATTACTTGTATATTATTCAGTGTCCTAAGTTCTGTACACGTCAGACTGCCTGTGTCAGCTCAAAGCTGGATACATTTAGCTGTTGCGACTAACTTTATTAGTCCTACCGATTAGGTGATTACTGGCCTTGACAAGAAATAGCGTGAGGAAAAAAAAACAGGCGAGTGGTTGGAAAACCACTGGTCGAACATGAGGTTCTCCGCGCATCGCGGTTGCTGCACGCTATTCGCAGCTCTCGCGGTTGCCGCATGCCTATTGGCCACCGGCGTTCCGTCAGCCGAAGCGTACGATCCGCTAGATCCAACGGGCAACATCACGATCGTGTGGGATGTAACGAGCTGGGCAGGCGACGGTTACATCGCGTGGGTGAAAATGTACAACTACCAGCACTACCGCAAGATTGATCCACCTGGCTGGGCGCTGACGTGGAATTGGACGCACGGCGAATACATCTGGGACTTGACGGTAAGCAGTGCTGAGAAGTCTCAGATTACATTGCGTGGGTTAATATGCGGTGAGCAGCAGCGGCGACGCGCTCAGCAGCAGCAGCAGCAGCAGCGACCCGTTCGCTTGAGGCGATTTTTGCGAGGCCTTTAAGACTCAATTATGTAATGGGTTCGACGACGAGCAGCAGCAACAGCGCGCGGTCGGTATTAACGTGGTTCAAGTGGTTTCTGCTCGCGTGGTCGGTTATTCCTGTGCTGGAGTGATGGCTTGAAGTGTGGATGGCCAGACGGTTGTAGGGGTAACTGCCACGCGTTATATTCCTTTTCGTACTGTCTTGCCCTCTCCTATCCCCGCTCTCCCGTCTCTTTCCCATCTTCCTCCTCCGTCCTCTCCATTGGCTTATTCCTCCTTTGTCTCTCTCCCTCTCCTTCTTGGCTCACTGTTCTTCCTCACCTCCCATGCTCACTCGTCACACTGAGGAATTTCTTGTAACTCACTCCTCCCTTTCACCTTCTCCGCTCGTGCGCTGCAGGGAGCCGTGGCGACGAAGCAAGGCGATTGTTCTAAGCTGCAATTCCCCGGGGGCAAGATCCCGCACAGGTGCGTCACTGATTTATTGTCAAAGGAATGTTAATTGTAATCATTGTTTTCTAGTCGCCTCGTTGCTGGAGGACCTGATGCGGGCTTAGAAGCGGTGATGGGTTTGATGCCGGCGGACCCCCCTACCTCTTCCTTCTCTCCGCTTATCCGCTCCCCCCACTCCCCCCTAAACTCCCCCCCCACACCAACCCCTCCGCCACCCCATCCCCCGCCCTGCATGCGGTTCCCGGTGGTGATGGACCTCATGCCCGCGGACCCTCTCAATCCCTTCCCCGTCCCCCGTTATCCGCTCCCCCGCCCCCCCGTCCCCCCCCACGCAGCTGCATGCAGTACCCGGTGGTGATGGATTTAATGCCTGCAGACCCCCTCAAGCCGGAAGCGCCGGGAGTGCTGAAGAACTGCTGCAAGGCGGGGTACCTCGGAGCCAACAAGACCGACCCCGGGCACTCGCTCGCAGCATTCATGGTGAGCCGCGGTGCTGGTGGCGCGGTGCTGGTGGCGCGGTGCTGGTGGCTTCCCCTCCCGCCTTCCCGCACTCATCCCCCACTCCCACCAACCCCGACCCCTCACTACTGCATCAACTCCTACTCCTTCCGAGTCAACTTTACCCTCTATACCGACCTTATCTAACTCACCTCTCTCTCCCCCCTCCTACTCTCATGCTCCCTTCCCTCCTCCCCCGATCCTCCTCCCCATTTTCCAACGTGGTTAATGCCACGAGCACTGTGTGCAACATCGTCCCTCGAAGCAATTTCAGCCTCCACTCCCCTCTTCTCCCCTCCCTTCGTTCCTTGCACTTCTCTTTCCCTCCTTCACTTTCCCTCCCGTCCCGCAGATCAACGTCGGTAATGCCACGAGCACGGTGTGGAACTTCGTGCCTCCGGGCAATTTCAGCCTGGGCGTGGACGGATACAAGTGCACAGACCCATTCCAAGTCAACTCCACCATCTATACCGACCCTACCACTCGCCGGGAAACCCAGGCCCAAGTGACCTACCACATCGTGTGCACCTACAGCTCGATTCAGAAGCGAGACCCACCGAAATGCTGCGTGTCGTTATCCTCGTTTTACAACGACACGATAATACCGTGCGCGAGCTGCGCGTGCGCATGTGGGAACTACTCGGCGAGCTCGATTGTGTGCGTGCCGACGGGCGGCAAGGTGCCGTATCTGATGTCGACGCCGAGTGGGGATGGGCTGGAGTTGAAGACTGATCAAACGGCCATGGAATGCAGTCCGGACGGGTGCCCCATCAGCATTCACTACCACTTCAAGGTGAGGCGAGAGGAGGGGGAAAAAGGGGGAGGGGAAGCGAGGGAATGGGGGAGAGGAGGAAACAGGGAGTAGGGGTGTGTGTGTGTGTGTGTGTGTGTGTGTGTGTGTGTGTGTGTGTGTGTGTGTGTGTGTGGATGAGTGAGTGCATTCTGGCTGGGTGCCCCATCAGCATTCCTGGAGAGCAGGACTGGGAGAATTAGGGAGAGGGAGGCAAGGAGCTGGGGAGGCAAGGAGTTGGGGAGAGGGAGATACAAGGAGTGGGGGTGTGTGAGTGGGATGGATGCCCCATCAGCATCCAGTACCACTTCAAGGTGAGGAGAGGGGAAGAGAGTGAGAGGATGAGAGGAGAGGAAGAGGGGAGGGGTGTGTGAACAAGTGCGAGTTAAGCTGGGAGGTGATGCTGGGGCAGGGGTGTGTGAACAGGTGGAGTGCATGGGGCGGGTCCCATGCCCAACCTGTTAGGAGTTTGCCAGTGTTACAACTTACGAGATGCCTGTTCCTTTACCTGCCTTGTCCCCTTTATGCCCTGCTGTCATGGTGCAGCAAAATTACGAGGGCTTCTGGAGAGCCAAGATCACCATCATTAATAGGAGCCTGTGGGACAACCACACCAACTGGAATGTTGTTGTTGAGGTATGTGTTAGTGGTGGAGATGGGTAGTGAAATGGGTCGGTGGGTGGTGCAATGGGAAAAGCACTCTGCCATTGAGTCAAGCAGACTGAACATTTTGCTGCTGACCTGTCTTGCTGCCATGTATTTCTCACTAATACATCTTATGTCTGGCTGTCCCGTTTGCCTGTCTCTGTCTGTCCCCCACAACATCCGAACATGGGCAATCTGACGGACGTGTTCAGTTGGAAGGCGGAGAACATCTTGCCCTATGGTGTCAACAACACAGCCATCATCTGGGGCATGAAGCAGTACCTCACTTTGTCCCTCTGTTTCCCTTCTGTCTGTCCCCCACAGCATCCAAACATGGGCAATCTGACGGACGTGTTTAGTTGGAAGGCGGAGAATATCCTGCCGTACGGAGTGAACAACACGGCCATCTTCTTTGGCATGAAGCAGTACAACGACGTGCTCATGCCAGCTGGCAAGGGCGGCAACGTGCAGTCGGAAATGCTCTTTGCCAAGACGTCAGAGTTCACGCTCGAAGACGGATGGGTCTTCCCTAGGGTGAGTCGCAGGAAGGCATGTCTATTACGTTGGGATTTAAGAAACCTTCCTTTTACCTTGAGGGTTGAGGGGGCTGGAGTTGGGTTTGCAGTTGATGATCTAATGTGTTTGTTGGTTTGCAAGTGCAGAAAATTGTTTTCAATGGCGAGGAGTGCGTGATGCCGGAGGACATTCCAGCATTGCCTGTGAAGCCTGCGCAAAGACAATCCTCGTTGTTGGCTGCCATCTTCGCTGGAGCTGCTGGTTTCCTAGCCTTGATCATGCTCGCATGAGCGTAGTTTTTATTTGCTACAGATAGGTTACGGTTAGTTGCTTGAAGCTTCTTTGGTCAAACTCCAAAGGTGAAGATAGAATGCTGTTGTGTTGAGATTCGGATTATGTAGGCGCGCATCACTTGTACTAGTGAATTTGTACTAGTGAATTTTCCTTGACGGAGACGGACAGGTTAGGCTTGTCGCACATTGTCGCAAGCGAGTACGAAACGAATGTGAGCCACACGTTTGAAGTGGCGTCGACCATTCGTCCGAATTCGATGACGTCCCCAGTCGCTTCTTGCCGCCACGAGTGAATTTCGAGGTCAGCTCTTGCCACCTCCTCGCTGCCAGGAGCGCTGCAGCACCCAAAACGCCATTGGTTGAAGCTGTTGTCACGACGAACTGATGATGTTCGCGAACACAGCGTAACAGCCACTTTGCTTTCGCCGTGGCCAGTGTCACACCCCCTCCCCCATTCCCCCACAGCTCTTTCATCCTGCCGTCCTGTACTAGAGACGTGGATCCACTCATCATCCAGCGACAACCACACTGCACCACACCGTAACGAACAGCATTGCAAAAAATCGTGTGTAACCCATCTTGAAGTCCGAGCACTTTCAAACGGAATGCACCACCTTCGCCCAACTCTGGACACCAAGGACAGTGTTTTGTGAACTCCAGTACAGTCAGAGACGGTGGTAGCGATCGAGTGTCTGATTCTACACTCGTGATGATATAGGAGTAAGGATTCAGTGATTGCTTTGGCTGTATCTATGAAGCTGAGCCACGTCAGCTTGTAATCTCACGCTGAATCCTGCGATCGCGGGTCCAGCTTGACAAGGTCGGCTCTTTAGGGATTTGAACTAGCGCCTCGCTCAGTGATCGTGTTTTGAATCTTCTTTTCAGTGATCTTGTTTTGAAACTTCTTTCTTTCTTGTTGCTACTTCTGGCAATAACTCGCGGTAATTCACGGTCAAATTCAAAGCGTACCATTCTTACACGTGACTCCTGATGCATATCTTCGTCGCACTTGACACGTAATTATTCGTGCAGGTCTTGGGTCACCATTTCGCCAAGATTACCGATCTGACATTCAGTTGACAGGCCAACATTGCACGGAAACTCGACCTCTGCTCAACGGCTAGTCATCCGTCAAACGCTCGACGGAACCGGCTGCGTGGCTTCAAGCCAGGCAGGGCCTCGAACAAAAATTTCGTTTCGCGTCCGCTGCGTGGCTAGTTCGTTTTGCGTCCGCTGCGTGTCTGGTTCGTTCTGGCATCCGATGGATCCGGAGCTTCTTCCACGTGTCCAGCCACTGCCGGAGGAAGAGGAGCAGCAGGATCGACGGAGCGACAGGCACAGCTTCTATGGTCCGTGCTTAGAAATTTCTCAGCCATTTCGTTTTTCAGTTGACTTAAGAATCGCCAGGGAGCAGCAAATGTAGCCTTTGTGGGCTTTCCTGCTGCATTTGCCATCTCATCTCATCACGTTCAGTTCCGCTTCAGCTGATTGTTTCTGTTCGCTATATAAGCGCTGCGGTTGACGTTACGGAGTGCATCCTAGCCAGGCTGGCTGTCCTTACTTTATCTTACCGCATCTTTATTGAAGAACTGTTTTTAGACGTCTCAAAACACTTCTTCAATCACGTTACGAAGTGCATCCTAGCCAGGCTGGCTGTCCTTACTTTATCTTGCCGCATCTTTCGTTCTCAGCGCTCCTGCTGGCATTGCTAGCTGTAGCCTTTGCACACCGACCAGGCTGCCTCTCCAGAAAGAACCGGCTGGATTTCATGGTTTTGAACCTCGTTTTGTCTATCTTCAGGTCTATGCAACCTGACCGAACTGAAGTTTGATCGTTCTCCTCCATTCCAACCTTTGTGTTTCAGGATTGCTCTTGACGCTGCTTGCTCTGGGTCTCTGCACCCTTACCGGAGTCGCGCTCCAGAGCGGTTGGTCTCCCAGCTCGCTCCACCTTGTCGACAAAATACTGACTCAACTGAAAGTTCATTTGTCCTTCCATCCATTTCTTTTGTGTTTCAGGGTTGCTCTTGACGCTGCTTGCTCTGGGTCTCTGCACTGCACCCTTACCGGAGTCGCGCTCCAGAGCGGTTGGTCTCCCAGCTCGCTCCACCTTGTCGACAAAATACTGACTCAACTGAAAGTTCATTTGTCCTTCCATCCATTCCTTTTGTGTTTCAGGGTTGCTCTTGACGCTGCTTGCTCCTCTGGGTCTCTGCACCCTGACCGGAGTCGCTCTCCAGAGCGGTTGGTCTCCTGGGTCGCTCCACCTTGTCGACAAAATACTGACCCAACTGAAAGTTCATTTGTCCTCTCCCCCATTCCAACCTTTGTGTTTCAGGGCTGCTTTTGACGCTGCTCGCTCTGGGTCTCTGCACCCTGACAGGAGTCGCTCTCCAGAGCGGCTGGTCTCCCGGGTCGCTCCGCCTTGTCGACGAAATACTGACCGAATCCAAGCCTCTCTGGCAGGCTCGGCTACTGTCCAGCTGGCAGGCTCGGGTGAGCAGTTCGGCAGTGGAAGGTCTAGCAGCGACAGCATCAGCAGCAGAAGCAGCATCGGCAGCAGAAGCAGAACCTGCAAAATTAGCAGCAGCAGCAGCAGCAGCAGCAGCAGCAGCAGCAGCAGCAGCAGCAGCAGCAGCAGCAGCAGCAGCAGCAGCAGCAGCAGCAGCAGCAGCAGCAGCAGCAGCAGCAGCAGCAGCAGCAGCAGCAGCAGCAGCAGCAGCAGCAGCAGCAGCAGCAGCAGCAGCAGTGGTGGAGGCAGATCATGCAGCAGTAGCTTCAGAGGACCCCCGATGTTCCGAGATCGGAAAGAAGATTCTGAAATCTGGCGGGAACGCGGCGGATGCAGGCATCGCCACGGTGTTGTGCATGGGCGTGGTGAATCCCATGGCGAGCGGCATTGGTGGCGGTGCGTTCATTCTCATCCGCGCCCCCAACGGGTCTGCTGAGTTCATTGACTGCCGAGAGACTGCTCCTGCTGCTGCTCACCAGGTACAGGGGCGTTTTTTCCCTCGTATTTAGGATGGTTTGGGTACGTGGGCTGGTTGGGTTCATAGGGATGATTGGGGTGGTTGGGGCAGTAGGGACGATTCGGGTGATTGGAGTGACCAGCATCGCTACAGTGCTGTGCATGGGCGTGGTGAACCCCATGGCGAGCGGCATTGGTGGCGGTGCGTTCATTCTCATCCGCTCGGCCAACGGCTCTGCTGAGTTCATTGACTGCCGGGAGACTGCCCCTGCCGCTGCCCACTAGGTACTGAGGCTTCGCACTTGGTACTTGGTGCTTGGATTGATAGGGATGATCGGGGTTGTTGGGGCAGTAGTGAGGGATGAGTGCAGTGGATGCAGGCATTGCTACAGTGCTGTGCATGGGCGTGGTGAACCCCATGGCGAGCGGCATTGGTGGCGGTGCATTCATTCTTATTCGACCAGCCAACGGCTCCGCAGAGTTTATTGACTGCCGAGAGACAGCCCCTGCCGCTGCTCACCAGGTGAGTGGGGTGATTGGGGTGACCTCTGAGTCAGGGGTACTTGGGGGTGCTTTGGGGTACACTTGTCGGTTCTTGGGGTGACGTGGGGGTGCGTTCATCCTCATCCGCTCGGCCAACGGCTCTGCGGAGTTCTTTGACTGCCGAGAGACCGCCCCTGCCGCAGCTCACCAGGTGACTAGGTTGACCTCTGATTCAGGGGTACTTGGGGGTAGGTGGATGGGTGTACTCGTGGTGTGGTTGCTTGGGGTGGCCCTGCGGTGCGGTACGCTCATTCTCATCCGCAGCTCACCAGGTGACTAGGTTGACCTCCGATTCAGGGGTACTTGGGGGTAGGTGGGTGTACTCGTGGTTTGGTTGCTTGGGATGATTTTTTAGGCGCCTCAGAAATTGCTTGGGGTGGCCTGCGGTGCGTTTATTCTCATCCGCGCGCCCGACAGCACTGCAGAGTTTATTGACAGCCGAGAGACGGCTACTGCCGCTGCTCGCCAGGTACTTGAAGTGGTACATGGGGATACACGGGAGTACTTAGGGTTACTCAAGGGTGCATGGGGTGCATTCATTCTCATCCTCTCGCCCGACAGCACTGCAGAGTTTATAGACAGCCGAGAGACGGCTACTGCTGCTGCTCGCCAGGTACTTTACTTGAAGTGGTACATTACACGGGGTGCTTGGGTAACTTAGAGGGTCACGCAGGCAATGCCGCTGCAGGGTATTTTTGAGAATTCTCAAAAATACATTGCCGCAGTGCTGTGCATGGGCGAGGTGAACCCCTCAACCCTCTTCTTCTTCTTCTCCCTTCACCTTCATTCTTCCCACAGGACATGTTTGAGGGGCACGAGGAGGATATCAGAAAGGGAGACCTTTTGGTGGGAGTTCTGACGTGTGTTAACGCACTACTTTTCTTCTTCACCTTCATTCTTCCCACAGGACATGTTTGAGGGGCACGAGGAGGATATTAGAAAGGGAGGACTCTCAGTGGGAGTACCCGGGGAGATCGCAGGGCTTTACCTGGCGTGGCAGCGGCACGGCAGGCTGACGTGGCGCGACCTCGTGACGCCAGCCGCTGACATGGCAGAGAGTGGCTTCCACGTGGCAGCTTACCTGGCAAACTCCATAGCCGCCAGCAACGCAACCATCCTCTCAGACCCTGGACTCAGCGCCGTTTTTGCTCCGGGAGGGAAGCTTCTGAGAAAGGGAGACACCTGCTACCGCCCCGCCCTAGCAGCCACTCTTAAAGCCATAGCAGAGACAGGCCCAGATGCGTTGCACCGAGGGGAGCGGGCGAGAGCTCTAGTAAAAGAAATCCAGGCAATGGGAGGGATACTGACCGAGAAGGATTTGGAGGATTTCCAGGCGCAAGTGAGGGAGGTGCTTGTGGGGAAGGCGTTTGGGCTGGATTTCCTGATGGCTCCCCCGCCATCGTCAGGAGGGGCGGTGATTCTACAGGTGTTGAAGATTCTCCAGGGGTATGAGCTTCCTCTGGCGTCAGCAGGAGTGTTGGGGTTGCATCGGGTGGTGGAGAGCTTGAAGCATGCGTTTGCGCTGCGCATGCACCTGGGGGATCCTGCCTTTGTCAACGTTACTGATGTCATCCAAGGTACTTTTGATTTCCAAGTTAGAGATCGATTCAATATCACCATGCTCATTCTGTGTTCAGTGACCCTCCACATCCTTTTTCCACTCTCACCTTGGCTCGTGTATTGGTAAATCGTTTCCTTGTTCCCCTCTGCATCTCCTTTTCGTTATCCCCTCTGCATCTCCCTCTTTCCGCATATCCCTCTCCCTGCATTTTTCACTCCCTGCATCCCCCTTTCCATGCATCCTCTTCTCACTCCATCTTCTTATCCCTGCATCCAGACATGCTTTCAGACAAGTTTGCCGCCCGGCTTCGATCCGCCATCCACGACAACATCACCTTCCCGCCCGAACACTACGGTCACCCCGAGGACGAGTCAGAAGAGGACAAAAAACGCCACCCGCACCGCCACCAACTATACGCCCAGCTAGACGACCACGGCACGTCACACACATGTGTGGTGGATCAGGATAGAATGGCAGTCTCTATAACATCTACAGTAAACGGCCCCTGGGGAGCGGGCAGGATGGCAGTCCAATCAGGGATAGTTCTCAACAATGAAATGGCGGATTTTTCGCTGCCCTACCGGCCGGGCAGGATCCCGATGCCGTTTGAGCCGCCGCCCGCCCCGGCTAATTTTATCCGGGCAGGAAAGAGACCGTTGTCGTCCATGGCTCCGGCTATTGTGCTACAGGACGGGCAGCTGAAAGCTGTGGTTGGTGGGGCTGGAGGAACAGTGATTATTTCGGCTGTTCTGCAAGTGATCCTGCACTTCTTTTGCCAGGGTTATTCACCCTTCAAGGCCATTGACGCCCCTCGTATCCACCACCAGGTGAGTAGCCATGGCATGCTTTGGACCCTGCATCCACATCAACACATAGATGGAAGTAAGGCCTCCGCAGCCCACCTGTCCTCTTTTGACAGCTCATGGCATGCTTTGGACCCTGCATCCACATTAACACATAGATGGATATGCGCATACACATGCACATCCGGTATGTCCCTCCAACGATGAAAAAGGCTCATAAATACCTCCCATACCCCACATTCCCCTTTGCTTCCCCTCCAGCTGCTACCAAAAGCGTTGTTCCACAACGGGGGTCACACTCTCAAAGATGGCGAGCGCATCTCACTTCCCAGTCAGTGAATCACTCAGCTGATAAATACTTCCCATATCCCCCCCCTTCCTCCTCCAGCCTCCCCCCAACACGCTCTTCAACTAGGCGGGTCACGCTCTCGATGATGAAAAGCGTCCATGTGCCCCTCCTCTCCCCCTTCCTCCTCCAGCCCCTGCCCAACACGCCCTTCTACGAGGGGGGCCATGCTCTCGACGACGGAGAGCGCATCTCAGTGCCCAATCTACAAGTCAGCTTACAGTTGATTTCCATATCCCATGTGCCCCTCCTCTCCCCCCCCCCACCAGTTGCTCCCCAACACGCTGTTCTACGAGGCGGGCCACGCTCTCGACGACGGAGAGCGCATCTCAGTGCCCAACGCAACCCTCGCTGCCCCATCTCATTCCCTTCCCGTTTTCCACATGCCCCTCCTTCCTCCCTATCACCAGCTGCTCCCCAACACGTTGTTCTACGAGGCAGGTCATGCTCTCGACGATGGAGAGCGCATCTCATCTCAGTGGTCAATACGTCCCATACCCCACACTCCCCCTTTCTCCCCCCAGCTGCTCCCCAACACGGTGTTCTACGAGGCGGGCCACGCCCTCGATGATGGCGAGCGCATCTCAGTGCCCAACGCAACCCTCGCTGCCCTGACCCGCCGCAACCACACCACCTTCCCCATTCAATTCGGGGGCTTCGTTCAGTTTATCGTGCAAGACCTGGACGGCCCTGCAGTAAGTGTTGCTCTGCAGAAGCTTGACGGTCCTGCCAGTGCCGAGCAAAGGCTCGACTCTGCTGCAGCAGTGCCATCTCATGGACCCGGCAGGAAACTCATATCAGACCAGAAAGCAGCCAAGCTTGCGATGGCTGAGCCAAACTTTCCGCCTCCGCTGTTTGGGCAGCTCACTGCAGTGAGTGATCCGCGCAAGGATGGTGGTCCTGCTGGGTACTGACGGCTTAGGGTCTCGATTTCTGTGAGATGTATTGAGGCGCCTCTATAAGCGTCGGTTGGGCGGCTCACTGTGGTGAGCAGAGCAACCCGCCCGCGTAAGGATGGTGGTCCTGCAGGGTACTACGGTACTGACTGGTGAGGACAAGATGAAACCTTGTGGGGCTTAAAATTTGTCTCTCGCTGGGCGGCTCACTGCAGTGAGTGACCTGCGCAAAGATGGAAGCGCCTCTGGATATTGGGGCATACGGTGTACTGGATACTCTATAGAAGGAAGTACGGTATTGAGCAGGTAATTCTTGCGCAGTTCAGCGATAGTCGTGTACTCAAGCTTTCATAATTATACGATAGACGGCTTTTTGTACAGCTCAAGGCGAAACGTGCTATAGCCTGAGATGCTAATAGCAATCTCCTCCTGATCCAATCAAACCTCTCTCCTTCAGTAACCCAAGGTGTCCCGCAAGGGCATCCAGACTCCAGAGCAAAAACTGCAAAATTGTGTGCAAGCAAACAGAAAGCAAGGGGCAAGCACACCAGCCAGCCACTCTACAAGGCCCAGCAAAGAAGGGAGTTTCACCGTGACTTGCAGACTGACTATCAATCACCTATCAAGAAGGTTTGGCGGCTCAGGGGCAGACCAGCCTGTTCGCAACCGTTTCGCCAGCACGTTCAGTTACCAAAGTTGACGATGAATACACGGTACGCTAATGCGAGTTCACTGTTTGCTACCTAATCTACTGTAAACTCCAAAAAATACGTCTACAGCAGAAGAAATAGCAATTTCTAGGTTAGATGGTCCAGAAGTCTATTGTTATCAACGATACACCTGATACGAACCGTGCACTTGACATTATATATATGAAAACATATGCTTCTTGATTATACGGTATGGACATTCACCCGTTGCACTTGACATTATATATATGAAAACATATGCTTCTTGATTATACGGTATGGACATTCACCCGTTTTCCCCATAACTCGTACGGCTGCAGCCATATATTTGCCAGTGTATGGTAAATGTGATTTTCGTTACAGAACACTAAACCACCCACTTGTTACTACCGCAGGTATGTATGTATGTGTTCAGAACAACACAAGGAGTGCAAAGCAAAAGTAGGTAACGATGCACATGAAGGCAATGAGTGCTCGCACGTCGTCCGCTTGTGGGACAATCGCCACGAGGAGAGACGCTGCTGTCCGCGTGCACCATACTATGGCCACCGCTGCTGCCACTGCTGTTAACACCCCCCTGTTACAAGCATGAAAAGGGACACAATGGTAGAAAAGTAACCAGTGTGTTACTACCTATACGTGTGTTGTGTTACACACCTGCAGGGGAAGAAGATGGAGACAGCGGAGTAGAGCACCATGAGCAGCAGCCCATGAATGTCTGTTCCTAGTTGACATTTTACATACCTACTGATGTGTCACACACCTGCGGTGCGAGGGAAGAAGATTGAGACGGCGGAGTAGAGCAGAGCACCATGGGCAGCAGGCCATTAACGTGTTACCTTCACTTGAATGAATCATTGATCATGTGTTCTATACTTCCTGATGTGTTACACACCTGCGGGGGAGTCGACTCGAGAGTCAGATTGATCATGTGTTTTATACTTACTGATGTGTGACACACCTGCGGGGGAAGAAGATGGAGATGGCGGAGTAGAGCACCATGGACAGCAGCCCAAAGTCACCACTATTAATGTCTTGCAACTCTACACATGTGTCACGTACCTTCGAGGGAAGAAGATGGAGATGGCGGAGTAGAGCACCATGGACAGCAGCCCAAAGTCACCACTAGTAATGTCTTGCAACTCTACACATGTGTCACGTACCTTCGAGGGAAGAAGATGGAGATGGCGGAGTAGAGCACCATGGGCAGCAGCCCATAGCCAAAGATGGAGCAGCAGCGGTACAGGTCCAGGCCTGCCTGCGCTGATCTGAGTGAGGGAGAAAAGTGGGAGAGTGTGGGGGCGAGAGTGGGGGAGAGAGTGGGGGAGGAGTTGGGGGAGAGAGTGCGGGAGAGAGTGGGAGAGGAGTTGGGGGAGAGTGGGAAGGAGACTAGGAAACAGCAGCGGAACAGCTCCCAATCACCGCATCTCTCACTCCCACTCACCGCATCTCTCGCTCCCACTCACTGCCCACCTCAACCCCACTCACTGCCCACCTCGCTCCCACTCACTGCCCATCTCGCTCCCACTCACTGCCCACCTCACCCCCACTCACTGCCCACCTCGCTCCCACTCACTGCCCACCTCATCCCCACTCACTGCCCACCTCGCTCCCACTCACTGCCCACCTCACCCCCACTCAGTACGCACCTCGCTCCCACGAGAAGGTTGAAAACGGTGTAGATGAAAGTTGATGCCACCACAGACCACCCGAGCACCACCCCAAAGTGCACCTTGGCATGCTGCCACGCACGACAGAATGGACGACATGGGAAAATAGAGGGTTATGGATAATCATTGAGTTGACTAAAAAATAGAGGGGTAAGGATAATCATCTCGGTTTCCACTAGGGCCGACATGGCAGAATTTCTCAACAAGTCGTACCATGTGCTGGCAGAGGCCAAAGAGTACACAGAAGATGAGCGGGCCGGACAGGTCTAACTTGCTGCCCTGTACGGCTGAAGCTGTTAAGTGATGCTCTATCACACCATGAGACGATTCGACGACACAAAACGTACCATGAGCTGGCAGAGGCCGAAGAGCACACAGAAGATGAGCGGGCCGGACAGGTCCCCATCGTCGTAGAGATCGATGTTGATTCGGATGGGGTTCAGAGCTGAGGCGGTCTTTCTGAGGATCTGAGGAATGTTGATTCCCAGCTCTGTTGGGGAGAGGAAAGATGTGAGGTGAAAGGGGAGTGGAGGTTAAGGGATAGCGAGAGGGGTTTGCCAAGTAATTTACATGGGTCACCATCACATCGTCGTAGAGGTCAATGTTGATGCGGATGGGGTTCAGCGCCGAGGCGGTCTTCCTCAGGATCTGAGAGATGTTGATTCCGAGCTCTATTGATGGAAAGACGCGGATCAAGGGACAGATAGGGAGAAAGGTGGGCGGTCAAATCTGTTTCACACGAGGTCTCTATCGCATCGTCGTAGAGATCAATGTTGTGCGGATGGGGTTCAGCGCAGTCACGGTCTTTCTCAACATCTGAGGGATGTTCATTCCCAGCTCTGTTGGGGATGAGAAGTAGGTGAGGTGAAGGGAGGAGGTGAAGGGCGAGAGAGGGGGGTTTGCCATACCGCTGTCTGCCTGCTGAGCCGCGATGAGTGGACTCAATCGTCGCATCACCTTATAACGAGCTACCTTCCACCGGAGGCAGCTCGGGTTCAAACGAGCTTGCCCGCCAGACCCGTCGTACTGCTAAAGCCGCATCACCTTATAACGAGTTATTACCTTCCAGCAGAGGCAGCTCGTCTTCAAACGAGTTCTGGCCGAACAGCCCGCCAGACCCGTCGTACTGCGACTGGCCTCCGAAGCGAGGGCCCGCCTGCGGGGGAGGCGCCAAGGCACCTGCGAGACACGGGAAACGATAAACGAAAAACGATAAACAAAAAACGAGTTGTGACAAAACGTATTGTGCCGATAACGGACGTGGGAGCCAGCGCACCTGCGAGAAACGGGATGCAAGATTCGAGAAGCTAAGAACAAATCGTGACAAACGTGCTGTAACAGCGACGAGTGTGGGTAAGGGTAATGAGTGTACGAACCCCACCAGCTCCTGGGCTTTCGGTCATTGGCTTACTAACCATATCGCCGCCACAACTAGCTCCACCCCTTTATAATCACAAAATTTCCACTCATACACTCACTGGGCTTGCTCATATCGAAAGACATAAACGCCATGTTGCCGCCTGGTGGACCACCAGCTGCCGGGCCAAATCCCGAACCTGGACCCGAACCTAGGCCTGGGCCGAAGCCTGGGCCCGAACCTAGCTCCGGACCTGGACCCATTCCTGGCTGCGGCGGGAACGGCATGGGCTGCTGCTGATGGGTTCCTTGTGGCCTTCGATGCTGCGGGAAGGTGAGATTCGGATTCGTATCGAAGGAGAGAGAGACATCGTCTTGAGGTCCCATCGTGAAAGACGATGCTTGTTTTGAGCGGTCGCTGGAGATCAGTAGGGATCGGAATTCGCGTGTGAGTCCTCTTCCTTAGGGTAGATCTGCTAAAGGGAAGGGTAGAGGCGACTGCTCCGCGAATCACGCTGCTACAAATTGGTAGGCGTAATTTTAGTGACACTCCGTCGCTTGGCAGAAATAAGAGACCGAGGCGTTCAGAATAACTTTTTAAGGTTGAAACCCTATTCAACCCTTTAGTCAAGTCAATCAAACGCTTTGAAAACTACTCAACCGCAATGGAGTGAACTGCGCGCAACGGTCCACTGGTGGCGGATATTGTGGTGTCAAATCTGAAATGGTGGCGGGATGATTGAGGACGATTCATACTTGCTGGACTCAGTGAAGTGTACCTGTGAATACTTCAAACAAAACCGATACATATGATACAGGGAACGGAATTTTCGCACACGATACAGAGAGCAGAACCGAGACACCTGATATGAGTATCAGCTGTTGGTGTATCAATTTCGGCGAAGCTGTTTCTGGTTCGTGGAACAGTCGAGAAGCACGCGTCGCTGGGCGACAACGTTCTCGTCGCAGAAGTTTATCCTCCAAACCATCGCGCGACAGCTTGCATGTCTGCTGCGAGGAAGTTGCGAATGGCAAGTCATCGAGCGCCTAGGAGCTTCTTCTGCTGCTCGAATTCCCCAGTAATGCGTCGGTGTTTTCCTCGCATACCTGAAGCTTATATAATGTCGCCATTCGGCTTCAAGATTATCAGGAATTTCAAGAAGTGCTCGGATATCCCCAGTTTTCCTGTTTCACAGGGAATTCAAATTCAAGCCTTGTGACGCACCCTGATAAGCTCAGATCATGGCGCCAAAAACCATCCTTATCACCGCGGCTAGTGGAGGCAACAATCAAGGTATGCTTCCCTTTCCCGCGTCGCCGTCTTATTTTGAAAGTAAGGCGTTCTAAGTCTCTCTATTTGCATTCCCGGCTTGCCCATTCGTCACCCGTCGCCGCGCCGTGATGTGTTTCTTTGTTGCTCTGTTAATCTCCTTTTGTTCCAGGCGCTCGGCAAGACACCTGACAGCTTCATCGTGAAAGCAGGCGTTCGCGACCCCACAAAATCCGCCGACCTCGCCGCACTCGCGCCCAACGCTTCTCCGGTCGCCGCGGACCCGCTGAAAGCGGCGGAAATCGCGGCAGCGCTTCAGGGAGTGGACTACGTGTTCGTGATCGCTCCTGGTCACGCCGACCGTCAGAAGATTTCTATCGCCGCCATTGACGCTGCCAAGGCTGCAGGCGCGAAGGTGAGATGATAATGCTGACTGTGTTGCTACTATCAGCTGCTTTGAGCCAGTTTGTTTTTTGCAGTTGTCATTAAACGATACTGCCTTATTCTTTGCTCAACTTCCCCCTCCCCTCCACATCCCCCCCTCAACTTTCCCTCCCCACCTTCCCTTCCCCACTCCTCTCCCCCCCTCCCCCCTCCCCCCCCCTTTTCCCCCCCAGTTCATCCTAGTCCTCTCAGTCTCCACTGCTGAACTCACCGACACGATTTTCGGCGGGCAGTTTGCGCCTGTGGAGGCACACACCAAGGCATCAGGCGTGCCGTTCACCGTCATCCGCCTGCCGCTGTTCATGGAGAATAACTACGGGTTTGCTGAAAGCATCAAGGATGCGAGCGCCATCTATTCGTCGTACGAGCCCGACAAGCCGTTCACTGCGGTTTCTGTGGACGGTACGTGGTTTAAGTTCATGCAGTATGTGGTTTTAGTGCATGCAGTATGTGGTTTTAGTGCATGCAGTATGTGGTTTCAGTGCATGCAGTATGTGGTTTCAGTGCATGCAGTATGTGATACTAGTGCATGCATACTGATGTGCATCAATGTGCAGTTAGGTGCAGCAAGGTACATCAAGGTGCAACAAGGTGTGTGCATCTCTGTCTGACTATGTTTTCTTCCTGCACCCTTTTTTTCTCGTGCAGATGTGGGGGAAGCTGCAGCAAAAATCTTTGCTGATCCTGAGGCTCATAAGGGCAAGACTTACAACCTGACTGGGCCGTCCGCAACAGCCACTGATATTGCACAGGCCTTTTCCAATGCCCTTGGGAAATCAGTCTCATACAACTTCGTAAGCCCCTTCACCCAGCACCAAAGCACCAGTGCTGATACTGCAGCTCTGCTATCCTACTGAAGTTACCTAACATGTACGATGATGTTCTCCTCGTTGCTGCAGGTTCCTTACGAGGCGAGCAAGGATTGGTTGACTCACAGTGGTTTTCCGGAGTGGCAAGCGGATGGGGTGATTGAGCTCTTTAAATCCATCAATGCAGGGGCTGTACAAACTAATGACCCTGCTAATGGGAAGACTCTTGAGAAAATTTTGGGACGTCCCCCAAGTTCAGTGAAGGCTTGGGTAGACGCACATGCCGCAGCTTTCAAGTAGAAGAAGCATACCTGGAGCAGCTATAGCAAAAAAAAAAAAAAAAAAAGTATGGGATGGGTTCAGTATATGATGCTGACGACAAGTGAGCTTAGGAAGCTTGCCGTTCCTACTACTGATCTTCAGATCCTTCTGTATCATTTGGCAAAATGGATAGATATTGGAGCATTTGTTAAGACGAGATACGTGCGATTTTAAGAGCAAAGATATACCTGACTAGTATATAGATGTCAATGCATTTTTTAGAGTCAAAGGTGAGTTGCACCAAGATGAAATAAATCTGTTGAGCAATGATAGGGTGACTGTACTGTGTATGCATACATCGCCAGCTGTAAGGCAGCTGTATTCCGCAAACGGAGGCGTGATTGGCGAAGAAAAGGAAAGTGAGCGAAACCAGCGAAGGTTACCGAACAGATCTGATGCCCCCTGCGATTTGTCGCGATGATTTGATAATCGGAAACCGGGGTCGTTTTCCTCGCAGAGAAATATCGCCCGCTTCGTGGAGTTTCGCCTTCGTTTCTGGTCCCCTCATATGTCGATTTCTGGCTTATTGGTGATTGCCTGAGCCAAGTGTTTCGCCACTTCCCCTGAGCAGCTTTGTCCCTTTTTGGCGAAGGTCCCCCTGAAATGACGTCATAATGTATTGATGACGTCATCAGGAACCGTCGGCGAAAAACCTTCTGCACTTTCCTTTGCCACCCCGCCAGATGGCTGCAGAACAATGCCAGTGAGAGCGAGACAGACCAGAGAGTGCTAAGGTGCTGGAGTTCACCGACCTGGTCAAGCATTGCCGTTTAGAGCATACGTTTTTGCCGTCGGATCTGAGAGCAATCGACGGCGGATAGGAACATGTCTACCTGGCTTTTGAGACCCGACCCCAATGCGAGCCTAAACCGGTTAAGGGTGGTAGAGGTTCCACGCACACGCGCTATGGGTTGCTATCAGCATACGCGAATGGACTTGGATGGTCTTCTTAGAATCAACTGCCACGTCACAGATCTGAGTCCAGGTTGTCGTGATGTGATTAGAGTTATGTCATGTGCGCAAGGTACGCATTTGCGAATACACATTCAAAGTTATGTAGAGCCATGCATGCGGCGAACTTGGGTCAGAAAAAAAGAAAAACCGCGACCCGGATCCGTGAATGCGCTCCATATAAGTGTCGTCACTCCACTTTGACGACCGGACCCACTTTGTCTGTCACTCTGACGTGACAGATTCTCAGAATTCCGTTCGAGCTATTTCTCCCGTCGAGTTTGATCTAGAACCATGGCGGTTAACACCGTTCTTATCACTGGAGCTAGTGGTTTGGTTGGCAAGGCGACGTTGAAGGTAGGAGAGCTTGTTGTCGTCATCTTTAGTTACCTTATTCGCCATCACCTCTGTTACCTCATTGTGAGGGACCTCAAAATCGCCTCTTTTTGAGGTGCCTAAAAAATAAAGGTAGGAGAGCTTCTTGACGTCATCCGTTGTTACCCCATTCAACGACATTCAAGGTAGGAGAGCTTCTCGTCATCCTTAGTTTCCCCATTCAAAGAGACACTTGAATTCCCTTCACGGTTTGTGAGGCGTTCACACTGACCCGCATTCCTATCGTGTTCTGCATGCGCGGTTGATTTTCCTTCCCTTAAGGCTCTCGGACAGTCACCCGAACGCTTCACCGTAAAGGCTGGCGTTCGAAACCCCTCCAAATCCGCTGCTGATCTCACTGAGATTGCTCCGAACGTCTCAGTGGTCGCTGCGGACCCACTGAAAGCAGCGGAAATTGCAGCAGCACTTCAGGGAGTGGACTACGTGTTCGTGATTGCTCCGAGCCATTCTGACTGCCAGAAGATTGCCATTGCCGCCATTGACGCTGCAAAGGCTGCATGCGCTAAGGTGGGCTGCTCATTACCATCACAACACCGTCAAGGTGAGCTGCTCGTTACTGTCACAACACCGTCAAGGTGAGCTGCTCGTTACTATCACAACACCGTCAAGGTGCTCGTTACTGTCACTTACCGCCAAGGTGAAGGTGACCCACTCGCGTTGTGGCTGTTAGCTTTCTTCAAGAGACACCACTGGGTATTCTGCATCCGATACTCACCTTTTCCCTCCCATCATCTCCCCCTCCTCCCCTTTCGTCCACGCGTTGCTTACGTTTCCCACGACTCCATCGTTTCGTTCTCCTCACGTCGCAGTTCATCCTTCTCCTCTCAGTAGCCACTGCCGAACTGCCCGACTTAATCTTCTCTCGGCAATTCCGGCCTGTGGAGGCACACGTGGAGGCGTCTAGCGTGCCGTACACCGTCATTCGTCTGCCATCCTTTATGGAGAATAACTACGATTTCGCAAAGACGATTAAAGAGTATAAAGCGTTTTATTCGTCGTATGAGCCAGACAAGCTGTTCAGCCAGGTCTCTGTGGACGGTACGTGGTGTCACTGACAATCCGAGTGCAGCAATGCCAATGCAGGTGCACCAATGCCAATGCAGGTGCACAAACGCCAATCCCATTGCACCATGCAGATCCAGGTGCGCAGCTGTGTTAGTATTGTGTCTCCGGGAGTTTCCAGGGTAAAATTTGTGTTTGCAGGTGCGAGAATGTGCCGTCCATTTTGGTGAAAACACACGCATTTTGGTGCAAAAATGTGCGTTCTGACAGAAGAATGTGCATTCTGGTGCATAATTTTGCATTTGCAATGTGTATACATGTGACCATGCATCCAGTTGGTGCATACTTACCCTTCTGTGCCATACTTGTGTTTGGCAGATGTTGGGGAGGTAGCAGCAAAAATATTAGCTGATCCTAAGGCTCATAAGGGCAAGACCTACACCCTGACTGGGCCCTCCTCAACTGCGACTGATATTGCAGAGGAATTTTCCAGAGCTCTTGGTAAAAGAATCTCCTACGAATTTGTAAGTACTTCTCCAGTAGCAAGCTTGTTGTGGTTACTCTGTTTTACAAGCTGGTAGGTTTTAATCAACTCATTTCTTTTTTTCCTACCCTGCCCTTAACAGGTCCCTTATGACGAAACCAAGAAGTGGTTGACTGAGAATGGATTTGAAGCGTGGCAAGCAGATGGGGTGGTTGAGCTTTTCAAGGCCATTAATACAGGGTTCGGACAAGCCAATGACCCTGTGAATGGAAAGACCCTTGAGAATATTTTAGGACGTCCCCCAATTTCCATGAAGGCTTGGGTAGATGCACATGTTGATGCCTTCAAAGCCCAAAAAAAGAAGTGATGGTGAGTACTTGAGCATGGAGATGGTTGGGTGCCCAAAACTGTATGCGGTTTTTGGTATTTGAGAATGTGCAAAGGACTGAATGGCTAGAGAGTGGCAGATGTATACTAGGCATGGTGATATATGTTTCTGTTGTGATGCATTTTAGTATTCAGCCTTGTGAAGGTGTCAATTCGCACAAACCAGCAGAACCATACTCAACCTTATGAGATATTTGAAGAGAGTTATGCCGCAAAAACGAAGTGCGAGCTGTGCCTGGCAGACTTCAAGTTGTGAGCTTGCTGAGGTGTCTCAGCCACACCCTAACCAGACCAACTTGCCCAGCGTCCAAAATTAGCGTCTCAAAGGCTGACAGGTCGGCGAAGCAAATTCCGCTGAGTCATTCTCGAGATCCCATTCGTCCAGATGCTCGCGTCGCACATTAGTCGAATTTCGAGTTCGGCTCGGTGACGCCAAGGCCATTCGTATGAGTTCTCGAGGGTGTTGGATAGGTTTGGTTTGCCTCACCTCCTTCCAGAAGAAACAAGAAACCAGGTTCGTTTGATGCCAAACCAGCCATAGTGCTTCAGCGAAGAAGCTTTCGTCGTTAACTCGCTTCATAAGGACCCTGGTTACCGGATTTTGATAATGTTTTGGTGGATGATGGCCTTCGAAGCTCGCAAACTTTTCTTGGGATTTCATGTCCACCTCGAAATTTGATTGGTTTGGTTCGGTTTGGGTTATCCCGCGTCACTACACTTTCTGCTCCCCTTGTGCCAGCATCATCACTCCCTTTCCTGTTCCTTGGGTTTCCCTCTCTCCCTTGCTTGCTGCTCTGCTACGCCTTGGGGTTGTGTTTCAAGTAGGAGAAAGATTGAATAATTCAACCTCTTTCCACGCAGTGGCTACTGCAACGGAGTCTTGCATTAGTGACGCTTGTCTCGTGTGCTCTGTTTAATTCAAAGCTCTCATCTCTTGGCTGTAGCTCGACAGGTATAGGAACGTGGATTTAGATCAGTCATCGACGCGGATTCATATTGGAAATTACAAGAATAGTTGTAACAGGAATCGCTAGGTAGTTAAATCAGGGGTCTGGGGTTTAATAACAGAGTTCGTCGATTTCTCCTCACCCGTTCTTTCCTGCTGATAGAAAGGAATTCCGGAGCTGGTTTAGGTTAGGAGTAAGGTCCTCTCATGTCTACCGAAGCTGACAAACCCGCTCCCGTCGAGGGAGATGCTGCTAAGGTCCCTGCACCTTCCACTGCCGAACCTGGAAAAGCTCCCGAGCCTGAAAAGCCCGTTGAAGCTGAAAAGGCCTCCGAACCTAAAAAGGCTTCTGACGCCGACGCGTCAGCCGACAATGCGGACAAGGGGGACGGCTGGCAGACGGTGACGTCACGCGAGAGACGAGATGGCAACAGGGGGCATTGGAGGGGACGAGGCCGCGGAGGCAGAGATTCGCACCACCATCACGGCGGGAATCGCAATGCAGGTGGTTACAGACGTTCGCACGGCCATGGAGGAGGACCCGGGGGACCCGGAGGCTCCGGCGACAAATCGAGCGGTGGGGGTAGAGGCGGTGTTGCCGGCAAAGGCGGCGCTGTCGCCGCCGCCAAATCCGGCGGCGCTGCTGGTGCTGCTGCTGCGGCAGCTCCCCCTGCTGGAGCTGCTTCGGCGGACGGCAACGCCGCTGCCGGAGCGGCCGGAGCTTCCGGCGCAGCGGAAGGCGCAGGGAAGGCCGGGGATGGCGGAGATAGCGGAAGCGCGACGGCCGGCGCGGCGGGTCAGAAAACCGGAAGTGATTCCAACGAGGGGAAAGGCGCAAGCGGGGGGGGCGCAGGGGGGAATGCGCATGGGCACGGGCACGGACATGCGCACGGACATGGACATGGGCATGGGCATGGGCATGGGCATGGCGCGTCTGGTAAGGGCTCGGTTTGGCAGGTCAAAGGGAAGCCTGGAAAAGGGGTATGGGCGCAGGTGGTTAAGAGTGAGCCAGGCAAGGCCCGAACGCACCCCGGGCCTGATGAGGGGTTAGCTTCGCTCGTGCGAGGTTCGGACGCAGCTGGAGACGCGCCGGCGGGTGCCGAGCCTGCGAAGCAGGCTGGGGGAAAGGCTGGTGGGGCGGATACGAAAGCGGGGTCGGAATCAGCGAAGCAGGGTGGGGGGAGGGGTGGTAATGCAGGCTCGGGGGGGCAGAAGGGTGGTGGAGGGAGGGGGGAAGGGGGAGGGAAGGGAGGCAAGGGCGGCAAGGCATGGCATAAGGATAAGGACAAAAAGGAGGAGAAGAAGGAGGAGAAGAGAGACGAGAAGGAGGATTCTGAGAAGAACAAGGAGAAGGAGAAGGGGAGTGAGGACAAGGAGAGTGCTAGTGGCGGTGCGAAAGACGGCGGGGAGGGTAAGGGTTCCAAAGGAGGGGGACACGGAAAGAAGGACGGGAAGTCGGATCAGAAGGAGCAGAAGGATCAGAAAGAGGGGAAAGAGCCTAAGGAGCACAAGCCGCCGAAGCAGGCATGGCGCAAGCACAACAGGGACGGCGAGAAGGGCGGGGCGGCGGCGGCCGCGGCGGTGGTAATGGGCGCAGGCGCGACGGCGTGGCCTGCGCTTTCCGAGGCGGATGCTGCTGCTGCGCGCGCGGCGGAAACCGGCAAGGGCGCGGGCGGAGATGATAAGGTGCGCGGGTGGGAGTTGGTAGATTTGGAAATCTCTCAGAATTGTGTGACTGTGGGGAGGATCAGGTGAGGAAGGGCTGTGCTGGTGGTAGGGATGTTGATGACAAGGTGGGCGAGGGAAGATCCTTTTGAAGCGCCCCAAATTTCGGCTTGAAGACACAAGTGGGAGGATACGCCCAGTTCTGGAAATAATGAGAATCTGAGAAATCGCGGATTCGAGAATTTGAGATTCCTTCATCATGATTCTTGAAGACACAAGTGCCAATCGAGAATTTGAGACGCAAGGGCGGTAGTGCTGGTGATGACGATGTCGCCCCATCGTGGGCTATGATTAAAAGCGATTGTGTTGGTGCGGACACTTAGGGATTGCCTTGACCTGGGATCGTCAATATCCATTGCAGCCCCGCCTTGTCTTCCTCTTGCCTTTCTTGGTCTTCCTTTTATTGCCCTTCTTGGTCGTCCTTCTGTTCCCTTTCTTGATCTTCGTCCTGTTGCTCTTCTTGATCTTCCTCCTATTGCCTCTCTTGGTCTTCCTCCTCTCAGTTCTCCTTCTTCCTGCCCCGTCGTTTCTTCTCGCTCTTTTGGTTGCTTGTGTAGGCCATGAATCAGAATCAGCATAGACACGTACCTTCTTAACCCACCCCTCCCCCCCCTGCCCGGTCCCTTCTCCCCACTCTTCTTCCCCCTCCCTTTTGCTCCCCACCTCCCCTTTCCTCTTCCCCCTCCGGTCCTCCCGTCTATCCCAACGCTCCAGGCGAAGCCTGCTGCTGGTCTCGCTATAATTGCAAACGAGGGCGACAAATCGTCTGCTGCCACGTCAGACAAGCAGAGCGGCGCAGCGGCGGTTACAGCAGCAGACGCAGCCAGAAAGGCTGGCGCTGCTGACGTGGCAGTTGTGAGCGTGCGTGAGGTGAATGGGGGGCAGTACAAGCGCGGGGGCCATCAGGGGGGCGGGGGGGCGCACCATGGCGGAAGAGGGGGAGGCGTGGGCGGAGGGGGATACCAGAGGCGCGCGCATGTGGGCCCCGCACAGGGGGGGAACGGCGAGGGGAAGCCTCAGGGCGGCGCTGGGCGCGGGCAGGGGGGGCAGCAGGGGCAGGCGCAGCAGCGAAAGCAGCAGCCTGGGGGACAGGCGCAGCAGCAGCAGGCGCAGGGGCAGCAGGGACAGGCGCAGGGGCAGGGGCAGGCGCAGGGGCAGGGGCAGGCGCAGGGGCAGAAGCCGCACGGGCAGGGGGGGCATGGGGGGATGGGCGGGGGCGGGCGCGGGGGGCACATGCGCGGGCAGGGGAGGGTGGTGGTGGTGGCGGACGATCCCCCCCTCACGGAGTTCGTGGCTGCTGGGCCCAGGAGGTCCGCGGCTGCCATGGCCAATGGCATGGGCGGCAGCTATGGGTACCCCATGGTCGTGGGAGGTGAGCATTGGGTGCAGTAACATGCCACGGCATGGAAGGGAGCTGTTGGCATCCTATGGTGGTGGGAGCTGGGCAGGGGAGGGTGGTGGTGGTGGTGGTGGTGGTGGTGGTGGTGGTGGTGAAAGGTGAGCGGGGCAGGGAAGGGTGGTGGTAGTGGTGGTGGTGGTGGTGTAAGGTGAGCAGGGGCGGGTGGTGGTGGTGGCGGACGATCCCCCCCTGACGGAATTCGTGGCTGCTGGGCCCAGGAGGTCCGCGGCTGCCATGGCCAATGGCATGGGAGGGAGCTATGGGTACCCCATGGTCTTGGGAGGTGAGCATTGCGTGCAGTAGCGCAAAGCAGCGAATGAGCTTGGCATGGCAGGGACGGGAGCTGTGGGCAATCTGTGGTGGTGTGGTGGGCGGTGGGCAGGGGCGGGTGGTGGTGGTGGAAGGTGAATGGGGGGGCAGGGGCGGGTGCAGCCATGCGTGCAGCCAACGCCCCCTACTACATGCCCTACCGCATGGCACCTCCTGTCCCTGTTGACCCCATGTCACTTCTCATGGTCACGTCACATCGCACCCCTTGTTGTCTGCGCTCTTCACTCCCCTCCCCCCAAAACAACGCACGCAGCCAACGCCCCCGACTACATGCCCTACCGCATGGTTCCACCTGTCCCGGTTGATTCCATGTCTCATGGTCACATCAGTCTCAGTTACGTTTCTTCTTCTTCTTCTGTTTCTCCTACTTTCCTCCCCATCAATGCAAGCAGCCAGCGGCCCCTACTACATGCAATACCGCATGCCGCCTGTCCCGGTTGACCCCATGTCGGGCCTTCGCACCGCTCTCACAAAGCAGATCGAGTACTACTTCAGGTTGGTTGCCCTTTCACTCACAAAGCAGATCGAGTACTACTTCAGGTTGGTTGCCCTTTCACTCACAAAGCAGATCGAGTACTACTTCAGGTTGGTTGCCCTTTCACTCACAAAGCAGTGGCCCTTCCGAATCGTAGCTTGCATGTGATGTGACCCTCTTGTTGCCAGTCCTGTTGTGCTGAATTCACGAGTGTTGGTGTCCCGGTGGACCCCATGTCGGGCCTCCGTACGGCACTCACCAAGCAGGTCGAGCAGGTCGAGCAGGTCGAGCAGGTCGAGCAGGTCGAGCAGGTCGAGCAGGTCGAGCAGGTCGAGCAGGTCGAGCAGGTCGAGCAGGTCGAGCAGGTCGAGCAGGTCGAGCAGGTCGAGCAGGTCGAGCAGGTCGAGCAGGTCGAGCAGGTCGAGCAGGTCGAGCAGGTCGAGCAGGTCGAGCAGGTCGAGCAGGTCGAGCAGGTCGAGCAGGTCGAGCAGGTCGAGCAGGTCGAGCAGGTCGAGCAGGTCGAGCAGGTCGAGCAGGTCGAGCAGGTCGAGCAGGTCGAGCAGGTCGAGCAGGTCGAGCAGGTCGAGCAGGTCGAGCAGGTCGAGCAGGTCGAGCAGGTCGAGCAGGTCGAGCAGGTCGAGCAGGTCGAGCAGGTCGAGCAGGTCGAGCAGGTCGAGCAGGTCGAGCAGGTCGAGCAGGTCGAGCAGGTCGAGCAGGTCGAGCAGGTCGAGCAGGTCGAGCAGGTCGAGCAGGTCGAGCAGGTCGAGCAGGTCGAGCAGGTCGAGCAGTTCGAGCAGGTCGAGCAGGTCGAGCAGGTCGAGCAGGTCGAGCAGGTCGAGCAGGTCCAGGTCGAGCAGGTCGAGCAGGTCGAGCAGGTCGAGGGAGCAGGTCGAGCAGGTCGAGCAGGTCGAGCAGGTCGAGCAGGTCGAGCAGGTCGAGCAGGTTCGAGCAGGTCGAGCAGGCGAGCAGGTCGAGCAGGTCGAGCAGGTCGAGCAGGTTCGAGCAGGTCGAGCAGGTCGAGCAGGTCGAGCAGGTCGAGCAGGTCGAGCAGGTCGAGCAGGTCGAGCAGGTCGAGCAGGTCGAGCAGGTCGAGCAGTCCAGGTCGAGCAGGTCGAGCAGGTCGAGCAGGTCGAGCAGGTCCGAGCAGGTCGAGCAGAGTCGAGCAGGTCGAGCAGGTCCGGTCGAGCAGGTCGAGCAAGGTCGAGCAGGTCGAGCAGGTCGAGCAGGTCGAGCAGGTCGAGCAGGTCGAGCAGGTCGAGCAGGTCGAGCAGGTCGAGCAGGTCGAGCAGGTCGAGCAGGTCGAGCAGGTCGAGCAGGTCGAGCAGGTCGAGCAGGTCGAGCAGGTCGAGCAGGTCGAGCAGGTCGAGCAGGTCGAGCAGGTCGAGCAGGTCGAGCATGTCGAGTAGGTCGAGTACTACTTGAGGTGGGTAGCTGCTCTTCCCCGTTCCCCATCTACCCCACCCACCCCCCATCATCCAGCATTGAGAATCTCTGTCGCAACCTCTTCCTTCTATCCAAGCTGGGTCTAGTTTTGAGGCGCCTCAAAACTAGTCCCCGATCTGCCCCACTCCCCATCATCCAGTACTGAGAATCTGTGTCGCGACCTCTTCCTTTGCTCTTCCTCATCCCCTGTCTGCCCCAACCCCCATCATCCAGCATTGAGAATCTCTGTCGCGACCTCTTCCTTCGGTCCAAGATGGACGCTGAAGGGTTTATTCACGTGGACGTAATTGCGGCTTTCAACAGGGTAAGGTTGAGTGCAGTAAGGTTGAGTGCGGTAAGGTTGGGTTGGTTGTGGTCAAGTGCGGCAACATTGAGCAAAGCAGTGACCTCGTCCTTGGGTCCAAGATGGACGCCGAAGGGTTCATTCATGTCGACGTTATTGCAGCTTTCAACAGGGTAAGATTGAGTGCGGTAAGGATGAGTGCGGCAAGGTTGAGTGCAGTGAGATTGAGCTGGTTGCGTTTGAGTACGGTATGGTTGAGCAAGGTAGTATAAGTCAATAGTCAGCTTTAACAGGGTAGCGCCTCAAGAATCGCCTTTGTGAATTCTCAAAAAAGCATGCACTCTCTCTCAACAAGACCTCTCTGCTCACTTCCCTTGCCAACTCCCATCCCATGAGCTTCCTCGCCCATGAGCTTCCTCGCCCATGAGCTTCCTCGCCCTTTCCCCTTATCCACTCCTTTCCCTCCCCCCGTGTAAGGAGTCATGTTTTGAGTCGACTCAAAACACGACGCAAAGCATGCACTCTCTCTCAACAAGACCTCATTGCTCACTTCCCTTGTCAGCTCCCATGAGCAATCCCTCGCCCATGAGCAATCTCTCGCCCATGAGCTTCCTCGCCCTTTCCCCTTATCCACTCCTTCCCCTCCCCCTGCTCCCTTCCAGGTGCGCATGCTCACCCTAGACAAGGCATTCATTCTCAGCTGCCTTGCCAACTCCACTTCACTCTCCCCTCCTCTCTTCCCCTTTCATCCCTATACACCCCCTTTCCCCTCCGCCCCTCCCCTATCCTCCCCCTTTCCCCCAGGTGCGCATGCTCACGCTAGACAAGGCCTTCATTCTCAGCTGCCTTGCCAACTCCACGTCAGTGGAAGTGCAGGTATGCGGTGTGCATGTCAGTCACTAATTACCTTCAAACATGCGGTTTAATTTAAGGAGTGCTGACGAGTCGAAGCGAGAGCGCGTATACGTGGCGGTTGCCCATTCGTTTCAAGTCGTCTCGGTATAAGCTCCAATTGCAGTATGATAGAGATGTTTTTTCAGAGATTCCGTTAGAATATATAAGGGGAAGGCAAGTGAAGTGTCTCAAATCTTTCGGAGGCAATCTCCTAGTGAAGGTACATGTATCGCTCTCCATGGGCGTATGCCCATGTGCCTCCCTCCCCTCAACTCTTGCCTCTCCTCTCTCGTTTCTCTCGTCTCTGAAATCTCTCGTATCCCCTCTCTCCTCTCTCCTCTCCTCTCTCCTCTCCTCTCTCCTCTCTCCTCTCTCCTCTCTCCTCTCTCCTCTCTCCTCTCTCTCCTCTCCTCTCCTCTCCTCTCCCCTCTCTCCTCTCTCCTCTCTCCTCTCCTCTCTCCTCTCCTCTCTCCTCTCCTCTCTCCTCTCCTTTCTCCTCTCCTCTCTCCTCTCCTCTCTCCTCTCCTCTCTCCTCTCCTTTCTCCTCTCCTCTCTCCTCCTCTCTCCTCTCCTCTCTCCTCTCCTCTCTCCTCCTCTCTCCTCTCCTCTCTCCTCCTCTCGCCGCCTCTGTCCTTTCTCAAGTCGCCTCATCTCCACCTCATCCCTCTCTTCCCCCAACCCCCTCCCACTCAGGGCGAGAAGCTGAGGAGCGCAGTGACTGGAGCAACTGGTTGCTGCTTACTGCTGCCCACTGCTGCCCTCTTTATCTCCCCTCTGTTCCCCCTTCTCTCCCCTCCGTTCCCCACCTCTCAGGGCGAGAAGCTGAGGCGGTGCGGTGACTGGAGCAACTGGTTGCTGCCCACTGCTACCCTCTTTATCTCCCCGCTCACCCTATCTTGCCCTCCTCTCCTCTCTTCCCCCCACCCCCCTCTACCCCCACACCACACCCCTCAGGGCGAGAAGCTGAGGCGGCGCAATGACTGGAGCCACTGGCTGCTACCCGCACCCGGTCAGGAGGGGGCAGCAGAGCAGGGAGGCTGATTCATCACACTCACTCCCTCTCCCCTCCTCTCCCTGACGTTACCTCCCCTCCATCTCTCCCTCCCCCTCCCCCTCTCCCATCCTCAGGGTGAGAAGCTGAGGCGGCGGAATGACTGGAGCAACTGGCTGCTGCCCACGGGGCACATGCAGGCTGTGGTTCCCCACTCAGAGGACGCACCCAGTCAGGAGGGGGCAGGAGAGCAGTGAGGCTGGTTCTTCACACTCGCTCCCTCTCCCCTCCTCTCTGCCGTCACCTCCTCTCGATTTCCCCCTCCCCCTCTGCCCGTCCTTGCCAACCTTTCAGGGTGAGAAGCTGAGGCGACGGAATGACTGGAGCAACTGGCTGCTGCCCACTGCTGCGCTCGATCTTACCTTCCACTCCTTTCTATCCCTCTCCCCCCATTCCAACCCCATCCCACCTCTCAGGGTGAGAAGCTGAGGCGGCGCAGTGACTGGAGCAACTGGCTGCTGCCCACGGGGCACATGCAGGCTGTGGTTCCCCACTCAGAGGACGCACCCAAGGCAGGAGAGGGAGGAGAGGGAGGAGAGGCAGGGAAGAAGGGAGGGGAGAAGGGGGAGGGGGAGAAGGAGGCTGCTGCTGGCGCTGACGAGGGGCAGGGAAAAGATCCCGAAGGAGAGAAGGAAACCCCCGACGCTGCTGCTGCCACTGGTGCTACAGCCGCTGCTGATGCCGCTGCTGATGCTGCTGCTGGTGCTGCTGCTGGTGCCGATGCAGCTCCCTCTTCCCCTGCTGCTACGCTCCTATTCGCCCCTCGCAACATCCCCTCAGCAGCGGATGGGGAGGCTGATGATGAAGGGGAGGAGGAGGGGGGAGGGCAGCGGGCAAATCGCGAAGGCACTCCTGCTAGGAGCGTTGGGAAGCGGCGCGGCAGCAGCGTGAAACGAGCCTCTTCCGGCCGCTTCTCAGCTAGCAAGTCCGGAGGGCTTTCGGCCGCGTTTGCCGCCGAAGCTGCAGGTTCGGGGGGCCGAACCGAGGGGTTGGGTTCGCTGCCGGGCCTGGCTGGGAAGGTGGCTGCAGCGATTGAGGAGGCTGGGAAGGGGGGGGAAGCGGGGAAGAGTAAGGAGGAGAGGGAGAGGGAGAAGGGGAAGAGGGCTGCAGAGGAGAGTGAGGCGTTGACTGAGGCGAGTGAAGCTGAGGACACGTTTCAGTTTAGCGGGGACGAGCTTGGGGAGGGGAAGAAGCGGGCCGGCAAGCCCAGGAGGAAGCAGCGTGCCAGGTAGGTTCCATGATGCTTTGGCTGTGCTGCCATAGTTTCCTTGTTGAGTGAACGAGGCGGCAGAGGAGAGTGAGGCGTTGACTGAGGCGAGTGAAGCAGAAGATACGTTTCAGTTCAGTGGGGACGAGCTTGGGGAGGGGAAGAAGCGGGCCGGCAAGCCCAGGAGGAAGCAGCGTGCCAGGTAGGTTCCATGATGCTTTGGCTGTGCTGCCATAGTTTCCTTGTTGAGTGAACGAGGCGGCAGAGGAGAGTGAGGCGTTGACTGAGGCGAGTGAAGCAGAGGATACGTTTCAGTTCAGTGGGGACGAGCTTGGGGAGGGGAAGAAGCGGGCCGGCAAGCCCAGGAGGAAACAGCGTGCGAGCTAGGCTCTTACCATGTCAGGATTAGGTTAGGGGAAGGGAAATCAGGGTTTAGGGTAAGGGCTTGGGGTTTAGGGTTGGAGATTAGCTTGGGGAGGGGAAGAAAAGGGCAAGCAAGCCCAGGAGGAAGCAGCGTGCCAGGTAAGTTTTTTTTCCGTGCTGGTTTTGATGGTAAACATAATAAGTGTTTAGGGTCAGTGCCGACCCTCCTTTCACTTGCTCTCATTCACACACACTATTTATACACACATGCTGTTAGACAGAGGGCACCCATATGCATGCATGGGTCACACACTTGTGTTAATATGTCTATGTGTTTAAGCGTGCACATTGGATCTCATTCGCACACATTCCTCACACCCACATGTCAGAGGAGGGCACTACAGACATTCTCACTCTTATTCTCTCTCTCATTCTCACTCATTCTCACTCGCTCTTTCTCACTCTCACACACTCACTCACACACAGGTCGGAGGACGATACAACGAATGACTGATTCTCACTCTCACTCATTCTCTCTCGTTAACACACCCTACTCACACTCACAGGTCTGAGGAGGACACTACAGACGACTCTGACTTCAACGATGTGAATCCCACTCAAATACACACACTACTCACACTCATGTGTTCATGTGTTCGCGTGTCTCCCCCTGCCTATACACACGCCACCACACGCAGGTCGGAGGAGGATACAACAGACGACTCTGATTTCAACGACGTGAATCCCAGCCTCAAGAACCTCGTTATTGTCACACAGGTAAGAACCTCTTTTTTGTCACACAGTTGAGGTAAAAACCTCGTTCTTGTCACACAGATAAGAATCACATTACTGTCTCTCCAGTGAGAATCTCGTTTGACAAAGCGGAGAACAAGCAGAGGAAGCAGCAGGAGCAGCAGGGCAACAGGATCTATGTGCTTGTTCTTCCCGACCACCTCTTCTTCGTGTGATGAGTCGGTTTTTGAGTCGACTCAAAAACAGGATCTATGTGCTTATTCTTCCCGACCACCTCTTCTTCTTCCCTGCCTATCAAAGGCGACCGGGCAACGGCAGTGCATTCCAGCAGCAGCAGCAGCAGCAGCAGCAGCAGTAAGGGGGTGAAATGGTGTGAGGCGCAAGAAGAGCGACGAAATGCAATCCCCCATGCTCACTTATGCTTCATAGCCCCACCTTTCCGCCCCTCCTCCCCCCTCCCTCTCATTCCCTTCCTATCAGAGGCGCCCGGGGCAGGGCAGTGCGTTTCAGCAGCAGCAGCGTGGCGGTGTGAGGCGCAGCCAGGGCAGGGAGGATGGGGCGAGTGGCAGCAGCTACGAGGGCGGGTCGTCGCTGGTGAGAAGGGAGAGAGTGTGAGTGAGTGGGTGTGAGATGCAGGGCAGCGAGGGAGGATGGGGCGAGTGGCAGCAGCTACGAGGGCGGGTCGTCGCTGGTGAGAAGGGAGAGAGTGTGAGTGAGTGGGTGTGAGATGCAGGGCAGCGAGGGAGGATGGGGCGAGTGGCAGCAGCTACGAGGGCGGGTCGTCGCTGGTGAGAAGGGAGAGAGTGTGAGTGAGTGGGTGTGAGATGCAGGGCAGCGAGGGAGGATGGGGCGAGTGGCAGCAGCTACGAGGGCGGGTCGTCGCTGGTGAGAAGGGAGAGAGTGTGAGTGAGTGGGTGTGAGATGCAGGGCAGCGAGGGAGGATGGGGCGAGTGGCACCAGCTACGAGGGCGGGTCTTCCCTGGTGAGAAGGGAGAGTGTGGTGTGGGTGCTTGATTGTGTGGGAAGGTAGAGTGTGGGTGCGTTAGTGAGTGGGAGAGGGTGTGGGACGCAACCAGAGCAACGAGGGCAGGGAGGAGCCACGTGAAGCGAGGTTGTTTTTGAGACGTCTCAAAAACAACCTCGCTTCACGTAGAGTGTGGGCGCGTTAGTGAGTGGGAGAGGGTGTGGGATGCAACCAGAGAAACGAGGGCAGGGCAGGGAGGGCGGGGCGAGTGGGAGCAACTACGAGGGTGGGTCTTCCCTGGTGAGATACTTGATCGGGGCTGTTACTTTGTTGGGCGGGTCTCCACCAACCCCCTCCCCCCTTTCCCCCCCTTTTACCCTCTCCCCTTTTATTCCCCCTCCCCCTCCCAGTGTCCCAACTACCGCGCCAGCAGGCTATCTGCTGAATGGCTGTCTTGGTCTCATTCTGCCCTCTTTCCTTCCTCCCCCTCTCTTCCTTCCTCTCTCAACCCATTTTCCCTCCTCCCATCTCTTTTCCCCTCCCCCTCCCAGTGTCCCAACTATCCAGCCAGCAGGCTGTCTGTCTGCTGAGAAAGGCGAGCAGTCAGGGACGGACGGGGAGGGGCCTGGCACCCCACCACACCTGACCACACGCCCTTTCTCCTTGCTCCCCTCCCACCTCCCCCTCCCCCCCCCCCCTCCCCCCCTTCCCCATCCCCAGGGTCCCAACTACCGCGCCAGCAGGCTGTCAGCGGAGAAGGGCGAGCAGTCAGGGACGGACGGGGAGGGGCCTGGCAGGTGAGCGGGGGGGGGGGAAGTGGGGGAGGGGGGAGAGAGGAGAAGGGGGAGTTGGGAGGGCAGGGGAAGGGGAAGGGGAGGTGCAGGAGAGGGGCGAGCAGTCAGGGACGAACGGGGAAGGGCCTGGCAGGTGAGCGTGGGGGGAGGGTGGGGGGAAGGGGAAGGGGGAAGGGAAGGGGAAGTTGGAAGGGCAGGGGAATGGCAGGGGAAGGGGAAAGGGAAGGGGAAGGGGAGGTGCATGAGAGGGGCGAGCAGTCAGGGACGGACGGGGAGGGGCCTGGCAGGTGAGCGCGGGGAAAAGGGAGGAAAAGGGGAATGGGGAAGGGAAGGGAAAGAGGGGGGAAAGGGGGAAAAGGAGGTCTATGAGAGGGGCGTGCAGTCAGGGACGGGAGGGGCGTGCAGTCAGGGGAGGGCCCTGGCAGGTGAGCATGGGAGAGGAGAAAAGGAGAAGGAAGTGGGAAGAGGGGGGGGAAGAGGAAGGGGAGGTGCATGAGATGAGAGGGGCGAGCCGTCAGGAACAGACGGGGAGGGGCACGGCAGGTGAACGAAGAGGAGGATGAAACATGGAGGAGAGGGAGGGACGGGGGAGGATGAGGGGGAGAGGAAAGGAAAGGTGCATGGAAGGGGGGGGGGGAGGAGTGGCAGGTGACGGGAAGAGGAAAGGGCTAGTGGAAAGGGGAGTGGATTAATGAAAAGAGGGGGGAAGGGGAGGTTGAGAGATGAGGAGTCAGGGACAGGAAGGGGATTGCACACAAATGTCATGTGTTCCCCCTCGTCTTTTCCGTACCCCACCACCCCCCCCCCCCCACTCCCCTGTCCCCCCCTCCCTCTCCTCCCTTTCCTTTCCGCTTGTCTCCCCGCCTCTTTCCCCCTCTCCCCCCCCCCCCTTCCCCTGGTCCCCCCCTGTGACCAGGTTCCACGTGGGCAGTCAGGGCAGCAACGGCAGCCCAGAGAACTTCAGCTCGCACGTTGCCCGCGGCCCCAGGGCCCGCCACCCCCAGCAGCAGCAGCAGCGCGCCTCCTGGACACCCGGCATCGCCCACATGACTGCAGCCGCCGCTGCCGCCGCCGCCGCAGCAGGAGGAGCGGCAGGAGCAGCAGGAGCGGTGGGAGGAGTGGGAGCGGTGGGGTTGGGGGCAGGGAGGGCGCAGCCGGTGCCTGTGTGGCGGCCGGGGCTGGGGGGGCTGCCTCCGAATGCGGTGGAGCTGGGCGGCAGCAGTTGGCGGAGCACCAGCAGCTTTGGATCGCCACAGCTCATGGCCTTCTACTTCGGGGCCACTCCCCCTGGTTCCTACAGGTGCGTGCGTAGGAGGATTGGGAGGGGTGGGCAGGGTGAGAGGGATGGGGTTGGGGCCAGGGAGGGGTGGGGTTGAGGTGAGTGAGGGTAGGGAGGTCTGGGGGTGGGGGCAGGGAGGGGTGGGGTTGAGGGGTGGGAGGTCTGGGGTTGGGGGCAGGGAGGGCGCAGCCGGTGCCTGTGTGGCGGCCGGGGCTGGGGGGGCTGCCTCCCAATGCGGTGGAGCTGGGCGGCAGCAGTTGGCGGAGCACCAGCAGCTTCGGATCGCCACAGCTCATGGCTTTCTACTTCGGAGCCACTCCCCCCGGCTCCTACAGGTAAGCCAGGCCGTGTGCATGTGCCGTGCTGTGTTTGTTTGGAGGCCACGGCTGGGGGGCTGCCTTTGATTGAATGCAGTGGGGGTGGGGGCAGGGAGGGCGCAGCCGGTGCCTGTGTGGCGGCCGGGGCTGGGGGGGCTGCCTCTCAATGCGGTGGAGCTGGGCGGCAGCAGTTGGCGGAGCACCAGCAGCTTTGGATCGCCACAGCTCATGGCGTTCTATTTCGGAGCCACCCCTCCTGGCTCCTACAGGTGCGTGCTTAGGAGGAATGGGAGGGGCTTGGGCTTTCTACTTTGGAACCACCCCCCCTGGCTCCTGCAGGTGTGCTTTTCCTTTTTTGTGTGACGTATGGGGCGTGCTGCTTTTTTCTGGGGGTTCTGGAGTCCCAAGGGGCCACCTGCAGAGGTGGGGGAGTTGGGGGGCAGCAGTTGGCGGAGCACCAGCAGCTTTGGATCGCCACAGCTCATGGCGTTTTACTTTGGAGCCACTCCCCTTGGTTCCTACAGGTGTGTGCTTAGGAGGAATGGGAGGGACTTGGGCGTTTTACTTTGGAGCCACTCCCCCTGGTTCCTAGAGGTAGGCTGTGTGCGTGTGTGCTGCTAGCTATGCATGCTGTGTGTGTGCAGTTGGTACGTGTGTAGCTCGGGCAACGGGTGTGTTTGTTCGAGGCGTGGGTACAAGCCAAGCCACAGCTCATGGCTTTCTACTTTGCCACTCTTTGCACTGCTCTTCACCGTTCTACGCCCCTCTGTGCCCTGTTAGAATATATCTCCTCTTGTAACCTGCATACATGTTATAGGCTAGAGATAAGCACCCAAACAGAGTTTGGGTGTACAAGCAGGGGTAACCCAATTTGTAGGTTGGAACCCAACCTTGGTCCAATTATTGGACCCCAAAAGGTTGGGTTGGATAGAATTATTGGCTCCCTCCAATAATGTTGGCCCAACCCCAACTTGGCCAACATTATTGGACCCCACCAATAATCACCCAACCCAACTTATTGGTTGGGGTCCAATAATGGCTACCTAGACTAGTATCCAACCACCAACTATGTATACCCCTACCATTTTCAATCCAGTTATCAAGTTCTACTCTAACTTTCATTTCCCACATGGTATAGAGCTCACTATCCTAGGCCTCCTCTCGTTCCAAAGGCCCACCCGGCCGCCGCAACCCCCGGCCTTCATATTTTTTTTTCCCCGGCTCCTCCGCCGTCTTCCCCCTTACCCCCCTTAGCGCTCTCCTCTTTCCGCGGCCTCATCCCCGCCTCCGCGCCCGCCGTCGCCGCGGCCTCGCCAGCCGCCGCCACCCGCGCCGCTCCCCCCTCACGGCCTCGTCACCGCCTCCGCGCCCGCGTCGTCGCGGCCTCACCAGCCGCCGCCGCTCGCGCCGCTCCCCCCGCGGCCTCGTCGCCGCCTCCGCGCCCGCGTCGTCGCGGCCTCGCCAGCCGCCGCCACCCGCGCCGCTCCTCTCCGCGGCCTCGACGCCGCCTCCGCGCCCGCGTCGCCGCGGCCTCGCCAGCCGCCGCCGCCCGCGCCGCTCCTCTCCGCGGCCTCGACGCCGCCTCCGCGCCCGCGTCGTCGCGGCCTCGCTAGCCGCCGCCGCCCGCGCCGCTCCTCTCCGCGGCCTCGACGCCGCCTAGGGTTGAGCAAAAAAACGAACACCTGTTCGGTTCGCCTCGAACGTGTTCGAGGCAAACCGAACAGGTTTTTTTTTTTGGCTTAAAATGTTCGCCGAGCAGTGTTCGATGTTCGCCCGAACACGTTCGTGTTCGGGCCGCTGCTGCAATTTGCCCGCGACGAACACGAACAGTGTTCGAGGTTCGCCCGAACACGCCTTCACAGGCGAACGGCGAACACCATTTTTTGCTCAAAGTGTTCGCCGAACCGAACAGTGTTCGGTTCGGCAAACGAAGGTGTTCGTGTAGGGGCGAACACGAACACGTTCGTGTTCGCCACTTGCTCATCCCTAACGCCGCCTCCGCGCCCGCGTCGCCGCGGCCTCGCCAGCCGCCGCCGCTTGCGCCGCTCCCCTCCGCGGCCTCGTCGCCGCCTCCGCGCCCGCGTCGCCGCGGCCTCGCCAGCCGCCGCCGCCCGCGCCGCTCCCCTCCGCGGCCTGGTCGCCGCCTCCGCGCCCGCGTCGTCGCGGCCTCGCCAGCCGCCGCCGCCCGCGCCGCTCCTCTCCGCGGCCTCGACGCCGCCTCCGCGCCCGCGTCGCCGCGGCCTCGCCAGCCGCCGCCGCCCGCGCCGCTCCTCTCCGCGGCCTCGTCGCCGCCTCCGCGCCCGCGTCACCGCGGCCTCGCCAGCCGCTGCCGCCCGCGCCGCTCCCCTCCACGGCCTCATCGCCGCCTCTGCGCCTGCGTCTGCCGCGGCCTCGCCAGCCGCTGCCGTGCCACCTCGCGCCGCTCCGCGACCTAGTCGCCACCTCCCCGCCGACCACCGCCGGCGCCATTCCTCCATCTCCCCACCGCTTCCGCACCCACGCAGCCCCACCAGCTGCCGCCACCTGCACGCTTCCGTGACCACTGCAGGACCACCCGCAGCCGTCCCTCATGGCCACCCCCATGCCCTCCCCCTCCCCCCTCCCTCCTCCTATCGATATTTCCTCCATTGATAAACTCCAGCTTGCAGCCGACAAATCTGCCATTAACTGGCACTCGTTCGTCGGCAGCATCCGCCGAGTCCTCAACGATGCATGGATCCCCCCCTACCGCGTCCTTGACGTCATCCTCCGCCGCCCCCATGCCCTCCCCCCCACCGAACCTGACCACCCCGGCGAGACCCCTCCTCTCCCTCCTCCTCCAGGCGACCCCCTCCTTGAGCCCGAGCTCCAGATCGCCGCCGACCAGGCCACCGCAGATGCTGATTTCATTATGCGTCGCCGTGCTTACCTGATCCGCAAAGCCGAATACGATGCAGCAGCTGATGCCTACGCTCAGGCGGTCGCTGGCCGCACTGCTCACCTCGCCGTCGTCGCCAAATACACCGACGATATGGCTACCTTCACCTCCAAGTTCATCGCCTGGTCAGCCGCTGACAACCGAGCATGCACTGTCATCCTCGGTGCTCTCCCTGACTCCCTCATGCGCCGCTTTCAGGCCCGGGAACTCCGCGCCTCGGTGATATGGGCAGAACTCCATGCTATGTTCGAACGTCGCGACATCAGCTCGGTGGGAATCCTCTTCCAGGAATACTTTTCTATTACCCTCGCCACCTGTGACGGAGCAGTAGACTATGTCGGCCGCATGCGCGAGGTAGCCGATCGCCTCGAAGCCCGCCAAGCCGGCCTCTCCGAGCCCCTCCAAATCCATCGCGTCCTCTTCAACCTCACCCCTGACTATGAATCCCGCCTTCACGCCTTCACCGAAGCCAATCCCATGGCCGATCTCGCTTCCGTTGAACAGTGGATCATTGATACCGAAGTCAAGCTTCGCACCCCCATGGTCAACCTCACCTCCTCCCAACCTTCCTCCTCCTCTCTCAACGCTACTCAGCCCCGCAAGCAGGGCAAAAGCAACGGCAAGGGGGGAAGTTGGGGCAAGGGAGGCAGCGGCCAGGGAAGCAGCAGCGCAAGCAGCCGTGGTGGCTCCACTGGGGATGAGCACGGCACCCCCAGTCAGAGCGGTCCCTTTGGGAACCGCGGACCCCGCCCTGGAACTCTCCCTCCCTGCACCTATGTCCGTCGCTACGGTCCCCGGGCAGGGACACCCTGCGGTCAAACCACCCATCCCCCTACCACCTGCTTCAAGGCTCTCTATGATGCCTGGTACGCACGGGGCAATGTCGGCACACCTCCCCGCTGGGGTACCATCTCCCCACGTCCCTCCCCTGCTGACATCCAAACCAACCCTGCCTACCTCCCCGCCCACCTCCGCCTCCTTGCTCCCCCCACGCCGTTCCTCAACCTGCAGCAGCAGCATCTTCTGCAGCAACAGCAGTAGCAGCAGCAACTGTTTCAGCAGCACCCGCCGCAGCAGCAGCAGCAGCCCCCTTGGGGACCCGGGCTCCCACCCCAGTGGGGACCCAGCACTCCCCCCTGGCAGCAGCAGCAACTGAACTTTGGCACGGCAGCCACAGCTGCTCAGACCTCCCCTGCTCCCCTGTGGGGTGCCCCACCTCCTCCTGGTAGCGGTGTCACTCCCCTCACCCAGGAAAGTTTTCTTGGCAACATTGCGCTTTCCCCTTCTCTTCCTTCTATGTACCCCTCCACAATTAATGAAACCACTTTCCAGTACTCGGTGTCTCCCTCCTCCTCCCCACCCACTCTGGACTTCGTCCTTGATAGTGGGGCCACTGAGACTGCTCTCAAGGATGCTGGTACACTCTCACCCCTCTCTCCTCCCACTCAGGTTCACGGTGCTGACAGCAGTTTTACCATCCTATGCACACATCTTTCCACCCTTCCATGCACAATCTTCCCCTCCGGTAAGGTAACTGGTCTCCACATCCCCACCCTCCGAAACAACCTCCTCTCCCACCGAGAAATCCAAAATTCAGGTATCACTGCCGTCTATCCAGGTAATGCCACCTACTGTGACCTTTATCACACCGCCACCGGCCGTTTCCTCCTACGCATTCCCCTCTGCCCCCGCACTCGCCTCTACACTCTCCGCACCCCTTGGCCATCATTCTGCCATGTCACCACTCGTGCTGGCACCTCCACTAACCCTCCCCATCCCCCCACCTCACCTCCACCCCAACGGCAGCAACTGCATCCACCGCAGCCGCAGCAGGGGCGGCATCCGCAGCAGCAGCAGCAGCAGCCGCCTCAGCAGGGGCAGCCGCAGCAGCAGCAGCCGCCGCCGCAGGAGCAGCACCAGGGGCCGCGCCAGCAGCAGCAGCAGCAGCAACCGCCGCAGCAGGGGCAGCCGCAGCAGCAGCAGCAGCTGCAGCAGCAGTCACCTCCCTCTCTCCCACCTTCACTCACTCCAACCCCCTCCACCTCCGATCATCTCTCCCACCCCGTTGTTCTGCTACACCACCGCCTCGGCCACCCCAATTTCGCCGCTCTCCGCACTGCCATCACCTCCCGCCTCCTTCTCAGCCTCCCTCCCACTCTCCCTCCCCTCCCTTCCTCTCCTGCCCCTCCATGCCCCTCCTGCATCCACGGCAAACTCAAACAGTCTCCCCACCACAGCCACCCGTCCTTTGCTCCCGCTCCAATTGACCTGGTCCACATGGACCTCTGGGGACCCTCTCCCACTCGCTCCCGTCAGGGCCATCGCTACATGCTGGTCCTCGTAGATGACCACAGCCGCTACTCCTCCATCTTTCTCCTCCACACGAAAGACCAGGCACCAACTGCGATCACCCACTGGGCAGAGCAATGCCGCGCCCACTTCAACCGTCCCATCGGCCGCCTCCACTCTGACGGTGGCGGCGAATTCCTCAACCGCACCCTCTCCCACTACTGCGCCACCCATGGCATCCAACAGACCCACACTCTTCCCCACTCCCCACAGCAGAATGGTGTCGCCGAAAGCCGCATCCGCGAAATCACCAAAATCGCTCGCTGCCTCCTCGCTCACGCCTCCACTCCTCCTTCCCTCTGGGGCTATGCTCTGCTCCATGCTGCCCTCCTCCTCAACCTCCACTCCCATCCTCAACACACTGCCATCACCCCCACGGAACTCTGGTCAGGCACAAAACCTTACGCTGCCGGTCTCCGTGTCTGGGGGTGCAAGGCATATGTTCTTATCCCTCCTTCCGACCGCACCCAAGGCAAGCTCGCTTCTTGGGCCCTCGAGTGTGTCTATCTCGGACACAACCGCGACTCGCCTGGCTACCTCTTCCTCCACCCTCCCTCCGGTCGCCTCATCCGTAGCATTGACGTCGTCTTTGACGAATCCACCCCGTACTACTCCTCTCCACCACCAGACCCCCTCCCTTCCCCTACCCGTCCCCTCGCCTGGACCGACACTGTCCTCCCTCCCCTCCTCCCTCCCGCACCTCTCCTACCACCTCTCCCTGTTCCACCTCCACCAACCTCCTCTGCTGACATCTACGATCCTACTGCACCTGCATCCCCTGCCCACTCCGCCGCCCCCCCCCTCCCCTTCCCCTCCTCCCCTCCCTCCCCTTCTTCCCAGCAGCAGCAACAGCAACAGCAGCAGCACCAGCGGCAGCAGCAGCAGCAGCAAGGACAGCAGCCGCCGCGGCCGCAGGGGCAGCAGCAGCAGCAGCAGCAGCAGCAGCAGGGGCAGCAGCAGGGACAGCAGCAGGGACAGCAGCAGGGGCAGCAGCAGGGACAGCAGCAGGGGCAGCAGCCGGGGCACCAGCAGGGGCAGCAGCAGGGACACCAGCGGCAGGAGGAGCAGCAGCCGCAGCAGCAGCAGGGGCTTCAACAGCACCAGCAGCAGCAACGGCAGAGGGCGACTGCCCGCTCCTCACCCTTCCTCCTCCCTCGCATGCACACCCGCTCCCTTGATCCCATCCTTGGCACACCGCCTCCTCCCTCACTCAACCTGCTAGAGGACCTCCATGAGGAACTCACTATGGTCCAGCGCCACACTCCCTCTCTCACCCCCCTCTACCCTGGCTTCCTTGGCGCACTTATCCTTGCCGCGGTCTCCGCTCTCACCATCTTCGTCCCCTCCACCTTCCAGGAAGCTATCACCTGCCCAGATGCCGACAAATGGATAGCTGCCATCTTCCTGGAATGTGAGGCCTTCATCCGCAACGACTCTTTCATCGACGTCCCCCTCCCTCCTGACGCTAACCTTGTCGAGGGCAAGTGGATCTTCCGAGTAAAGCAGCTGCCGGGAGAGGAACCAGTCTACAAGGCCCGCTATGTCGCCAAGGGCTTTACACAGACTTGGGCTGAGGACTACTGGTTCACATTCGCCCCTACCGTTAAGCCACCCACCCTTCGCGCTCTTCTTGACATTGGTGGGCGCGACGACATGGAGATTGACTCCATGGACGTCTCCAACGCATTCTTGCAAGGCGAGCTGCACGAGCGTATTTTTCTACGCCGGCCTCCCGGGTTTCACGCTGCTTTCCCCGACAATACCTTCTGGCAACTACGACGCCCAGTCTACGGCCTGAAGCAGGCACCACGAGAATGGCATGCGAAGCTGTCTGCCACTCTCCAGTCCCTCGGTTTCTCTGCCTCCCACTCCGATGCCAGCCTCTTCATCCGCTCCTCCCCTCGTCGCTTCTTCATCTCGGTCTACGTTGACGACATGATTCTGCTTGCTGATTCTAGGACCGACATGGACCAGGTGAAGCGGTCCCTTCAGGACCGTCTCAAGTGCAAGGACCTTGGTCCGCTGCAGAACTACCTCGGCATGACCATCACCCGCAACCGATCCGCCCGCACCATCACCCTCTCCCAGTCCCACTACATCGGCCAGGTGCTGGAGAAGTTCGAGATGGCGCAGGCCAAACCAGTCTCTACCCCCCTCCCCTTCGGTCACCAACTAGCGCCTCCCACCTCCCCCTCCGCCTCCACCCGCCCCTATGCCGAGCTCGTTGGGTCGCTGATGTACGCGATGATGTGCACTCGCCCTGACCTTGCCTACCCCATCAGCGTCCTCGCTCGGTTCGTCGGCTCCGGCCGTCACACTGAAGAACACTGGACTGCCGCCAAGCGGGTTCTCCGCTACCTTCGAGGCACCAAGGATCACGCCCTCACATTGGGTGGTTCCTCCCCTCCCCTTCTCACTGGCTTCAGCGACTCCTCCTGGGCAGACTCCCAGCCGGACCGCCGCTCCTCGCAAGGCTATGGCTTCACGCTTGGCAGCGGGCTCATCAGCTGGCGTTCTACTCGCTCATCTGCCGTTGCCCTCTCTTCCTGCGAAGCCGAACTCTATGCTGGCACCATGGTTGCACAAGAGTCCCGTTGGCTCTGCTTTCTTCTCGCCGAGCTTGGTGCCCCTCAGCGCTGTCCCACACTCTGGTGTGACAATGCCAGCACCATCCATCTCACCCAGGACCCCGTCTTTCACGGCCGCTCCAAGCACATCGAGCTCCGCTACTTCTTCATCCGTGACCTCGTTCAGCAAGGCCTCGTTGCCGTTCGCAAGATCGCTGCTGAGGCCAACTTGGCTGATATCTTTACCAAAGCCCTTCTCCGCCCTGCGCACTCTGCTCTTCTCCGCCTCATCGGCCTCGCCCCTCCCGGCGCGCCTTGATTCAGGGGTTGCTACCCTCAAGCCTTTCCACATCTATGCAGGTTAAGGGGTTGTGTTAGAATATATCTCCTCTTGTAACCTGCATACATGTTATAGGCTAGAGATAAGCACCCAAACAGAGTTTGGGTGTACAAGCAGGGGTAACCCAGTTTGTAGGTTGGAACCCAACCTTGGTCCAATTATTGGACCCCAAAAGGTTGGGTTGGATAGAATTATTGGCTCCCTCCAATAATGTTGGCCCAACCCCAACTTGGCCAACATTATTGGACCCCACCAATAATCACCCAACCCAACTTATTGGTTGGGGTCCAATAATGGCTACCTAGACTAGTATCCAACCACCAACTATGTATACCCCTACCATTTTCAATCCAGTTATCAAGTTCTACTCTAACTTTCATTTCCCACATGCCCCTCACCTCTCCTTACAGTGGCTCGGCGGCCTCCCCCCTCTTTAGCTCCTCCCGGGGCATGCCTGCTGGGCTGGCCATGCCTCCACCCCTCCTACCCCTCTTCACCCCTCTGTACCCCTCTGTGTCTGAATTTGCCCCTCTTTGCACCACTGTTCACCCCTCTGCACCGCAGTGGTTCCGCGGCTTCCTCCCTGTCTAGCTCCTGGGGCATGCCTGCTGGCCTGGCCATGCTTTCACCCCCCCTTCTACTCCTTTTCACCCCCCTGTACCCTTCGGTCTCCCTCTTCGCCCCTCTTTACACCACTGTTCACCCCTCTTCACCGCAGTGGTTCGGCGGCCTCCTCCCTGTCTAGCTCCTGGGGCATGCCTGCTGGGCTGGCGATGCTTCACCAGCAGCAGCAGCAGGGGGAGAAGAAGGAGAAGGAGAAGGAGGAAGGAGCAGGGAAACAGGCAGGGGACGCAAAAGAAGGCGAGAAGAAAGACAGCGAGAAGGAGGCAGATGCAGGGAAGGAGGGTGTGAAAGAGAAGGACCAGAAGCGGGGCAAGGGGGGAGGACTCCTGAGCCCACCCAAGGGCGTCACTCCCCTCCCCTTCGCCCCTGGTTCTGCCCCTACGGGTAGTATGATGCATATGGCAGCAGCGGGAGGGCGGCACAGGGACAGGGGGAGGGGAGTGGTAGGATCGATGGGGAAGGGGGGAGCGGGGTTGCTGTCGGCTAGTCTGGGCTCAGGAGGGCAGCAGCACCAGCACGTTAGTCACGCGCTGCTGGAAGAGAACGGGTTCAAGCAGCAGAAGTGAGTGTGGGTGGGGTGCATGGAAGGCCATGGTATGAGTGAGGTAAGAGAGGGGGGCTGTTGTTGGCTAGTCTGGGGTCGGGAGGGCAGCAGCACCAGCATGTTAGTCACGCGCTGCTGGAGGAGAATGGGTTCAAGCAGCAGAAGTGAGTGTGGGTGGGGTACTGTGCTGTGAGGTTAACAGTTGCATGATATGGGTGAATGGAGTGAGGAGAACCGTTGCCTGCAGCACCAGCATGTTAGTCACGCGCTGCTGGAGGAGAATGGGTTCAAGCAGCAGAAGTGAGTGCTCCTCATTCTACAAAAGGTGTCTCATTTGTTAACGAATCAGACAAATGGTGTTTCCCTTTGCTCTGTCTCTTCTCTCAGATCTCTCCCCACTTGCCCCTCTCTCCCTCCCCTCTCCCCCCCCCTACCAGGTACTCCTCCTTCTACAAGAGGTGTCTCAAGTGTATGCCCGCGTTGCCCTCTCTCACCTCTCATGTCTCTCTCTTGCCTCTCCTCTCATGCCTCGACTCTTCCCCTTCCCTCCCCCCCCCCCCCTCCCCCCAGGTACTCCTCATTCTACAAGAGGTGTCCCGTTTGTCAAGCCTTTTGTCCGTTCCCTGCTTCTCATCCCCCTCGCACACCTCTGGCTCCTCTCCCCCCCCCCACCCCCCCCAGGTACTCCTCATTCTACAAGAGGTGTCTCAAGGAGCGCAAGAAGCTCGGCAGCGGCCGCTCTGAGGTGAGACACTTGAAGGGAATAGGGCCTTATCCCATGGGCTAGTCTGTATCAGTTGTTATCTGCTGCTGGGGTCCCTTCTACAAGAGGTGTCTCAAGGAGCGCAAGAAGCTGGGCAGCGGCCGCTCTGAGGTGAGTCGCTAGAAGTTAAGGTAACCCTACTTTGGTTGGGGGTGACGTGAAGGTGATATGTTTGTAAAGGTTGTTACCCTAGAACCTAAACAAGTAGGGGATGAACAACCTTTACACGTTGTTCCGCCCCAACAACTTCACGTTGTTCTGCTGCTACTTCACTTCCCCCCCAACAACTTCAACCAACAGATGATAAAAGTGTTGTTTTGAGACGTCTCAAAACAACACCTTTATCACATGCCTTTACACGCTGTTCCGCTTCTGCTGCTACTTCACTTCCCCCCCAACAACTTCAACCAACAGATGCCCACAGCGGTCCCTACCCCTTCTTCCCCTCCCGCACCCTCCCTCCCTCCCCTCCTCCCTCCCTCCCCAACCGCCTGTTCCAAACCCTCAGGAGATGAACACGCTGTTCCGCTTCTGGTGCTACTTCCTGCGCTTCTAGAATCCCTTTTCCCTCTCCCCAACCTTTCCTCCTTTCTCAAATCCTCAGGAGATGAACACGCTGTTCCGCTTCTGGTGCTACTTCCTGCGCTTCTAAAATCCCTTTTCCCTCTCCCCAACCTTTCCTCCTTTCGCAAATCCTCAGGAGATGAACACGCTGTTCCGCTTCTGGTGCTACTTCCTGCGCAAGAACTTCAACCAGCAGATGTATGACGACTTCAAGAGGCTCGCCACGGAGGACGCGGCTTCCAAGTATTATTACGGCATGGAGTGCCTCTTCCGCTTCTACAGGTACTGTGCTGTGCCTAATGCCTCTTGAATTGACTCAACGTTATTACAAACAGAGGACGCGGCTTCCAAGTACTACTATGGCATGGAGTGCCTCTTCCGCTTCTACAGGTATGTGCTGTGCTTCGCTTTGCTAGTAGTTTTTAGTACACTCACCACTGAGGACGCGGCTTCCAAGTACTACTATGGCATGGAGTGCCTCTTCCGCTTCTACAGGTACTGCAATGGTTTGCTAAGAATCTATTGACATGTCTCAAAACTCTCAAAGGACGCGACTTCCAAGTATTATTACGGCATGTCGTGCCTCTTCCGCTTCTACAGGTACCGCTGCTTAGCTAAGTGATTCTTACGCTTTCTTTAATGCTTACGGCAAAGAGTGCCTCTGTCGCTTCTGCACGTACTTATAAATAATTTCTGTGACTTTGAGCAGCTCTCTCTAATCTCCTAAGAACCACCCCTTCCACCCTCTTCCACTCCCCCCACCCTCTTCCACTCCCTTCCACCGCTTGCATCCTTTTTGTTCCCTGTGACCAGCTACGGCCTGGAGTCAAAGTGCGAAGAGCTCACCTTTGCTGATTTTGAGCAGCTCACTCTGTCCTACTGCGCAACTCGTGTTTTGAGTCGACTCAAAACACTACTGCGCAACTCGTGTTTTGAGTCGACTCAGAACACTACTGCGCAGCTCCCTGATTTGACCCCTTGAATTCCTTGTTCTCTTCTCCTCCCCCCCGTTCCTACCCCCCACCAGCTATGGGCTGGAGTCCAAGTTTGAGGAGCCCATGTATGTCGACTTTGAGCAGCTGACTCTGGACATGTACCAGCGGGACGGGAACCTCTACGGGCTGGAGAAGTACTGGTGAGTTGAGATTGGATGGAGTGGACTGGGGTGGGGTGGGGTGGGGTGGGGTGGGATGGGTGGGCGGTCCAAGGTGGTTCGAGCAGCTGACTCTGGACATGTACCAGCGGGATGGCAACCTGTATGGGCTGGAGAGAAGTACTGGTGAGTTGAACCAAGAGATGTTTTTCCTGTGAGATATTTTCACATTTTTTGGGTTATTTTCACAATTTCTGAGTTATTTTCACAATTCCTGAGATATTTTCACAATTCATCTTATATTTATATTTTCACAATTCCAGATATATTTTCACAATTCCGGAGTTATTTTCACAATTTCTGAGTCATTTTCACAATTTCTGAGATGTTTTCACAATTCCTGAGTTTTTATCACAATTCCTGAGTTATTGTCACAATCCATGAGCTCTCTTCACAATTCCTGAGTTTTCTTCAAATTCCTTTCCCCACACAGGGCATACCACTTTTACCGCAAGGACAAGGTCACGCGGGAATTCAAGAATCACCCAGAGCTGGTGAAATGTTGTACGCATGGCTAACCTTTTCCTTACCCTTTCTCCCTCTCCACATACATCCCTCACTCCTCACCCCTCCCCCGGCACACCACAGGGCGTACCACTTTTATCGCAAGGACAAGGACACGCGGGAAGTCAAGAAGCACCCCGAGCTCGAGAAGATTCTCACCGAGAAGTTCCGAACCATGGCTGACTTCAGGGCCGCCAAGGATGCTCAGAAACGCGCCCTGGCTGAAGCCCAGGCCAAGGCGAAGGGAGAGAAAGTGGGTGGGGAGAAGGGGGGAGGGGAGAAGGGGAAGGAGGAAAAGGTGGAGGGAGGGAAGGAGGGGAAGAAAGAGGGGGAGGAGGGAGGGGAGGGGAAGAAGGGAGAGGGGGAAGGCGCTGCTGCTGCAGAGGGAGAAGGAAAGGGGGAGGATGGGGGGAAGGAGGGTGCTGTAACGGATAAGGCAGGGGATGGCGGAGCAGGAGCAGCAGCAGAGACAACATCATAGAGACAGGGTTGATGATTGCATGGTTTATGCTATTTGTGCTTGCAGCCCTTGCAAACTGTAACGCAATTGTTACAGTTGCAGTAGCCGAAACAGCAGCAGGAACTGCAGCCCACCATGATCCTCCACCAAGTGAAGCCTCTTCCACCCCTTTTCCAGCATTGTGATATTCCAAACCTTCCCTTTACCTTAGCCGAACCGGCCTTCCCTTCCTGTCCACTTGCCAAGCTTGCCCCGTCGACCGCTTGTGTATGGCTCTGCACACAACCTGATGTGCCTTGACTTTTATTTACCCCTTTTTGTTCATTCTAGACTTGTGGTTTTTTTTTTTTTTTCTTTCATCTTGGTGTGTTTCTTTTGTGCTTCTTGTATATTGACCCCCTCTGGCTCAAAACCTTAGTTCAATAGGATCTTGATGATTGTTTCAGACATGTTCCTAGGTAGGTGTTACGGGTGCAATGAATCTAAGTAGCGAGAATTGCACTAAGGTGTCAAACGAGTACAAAGATGTGAGCGAAGGCATGAGCGAACATTTATATGTGAACATGCAAACGGTAACGCGGTGCGTGCGAGCTAGCTGGTGCTACGCTGGCAGCGAGGCTCGGGCTAGTCCCGAAGAGTAGGCCGACACGGCCGGGCCAGCAGTGCGAGGTTTGGCAAAATAGTGCGCGCGAAGTTGGCGAAGTCCCGTTAGCAGTAACGGGCGAACAATGGCTGTTGCTGTACGCGATGTAGTCGGGCTCCGAAACGAATGCCGAGAAAAATCCTTACACTACCCCCCCCCCTCAAGAAGCCCCCTCCGCTACGCGAGTGCGTGTATATCGCGGAATCCCCGGCTCCTCAGGTACACTTGCAGGGCAGGGTGGTTTTCAATGTTGGCCAGGGGCACCCAGCTATCTTCAATTGGCGTGCGGTCCTTCCAGCGAACGAGGAATTCAATCCTCCTGATTCCTGTAGGGTGGCGAATCCGATGGCTCAGGATTTTTTCGGGCTCGATGATCGGCTCCGATGCAGGGCGAGTCATGGAATGCGGGCGGTGACGAGGCAGTTGGCTGGTGGTTGGGATGTATGGGCGAAGTAGGCTGACGTGGAACGATGGGCTGATGTACCAGTCGGTCGGTAACAGTAGGTGCGCGGTTACTGGCGTGATCATGTGGCTGATTTGGAATGGGCCACAGTAGCGCGGTCGAAGTTTCAGTACGTCGGGCAGTCGCAGATTTTGCGTGTCGAGCAGTACGTAATCCCCTGACTGGTATGTGACTGGGCGGCGGTGGCGGTCAGCGTTGCGCTTAACGATGACGTTTGCTTTTTTAACTGCTTCTGCGGCTCTGGTGCGGGCAGCTTGCAGAATTTCGGCGAATTGCTGTGCACGTGGTGTTGGGTTGTCCGGACTCGGCGTCATGAGCACTGTAGGATTTTGCCCGTAGTTCAGGTAGAAGGGGGACTGCTGCGTCGTCGCTGACGTGGCGTTGGTATACGCGAACTCGATCAGCGGCAGCTGCTGCTCCCAAGTCGTGGGGTCGTCGCACGTGGCACGAATCAACTGCTCCATCGTCTGATTCGTCCGCTCCGTTTGACCGTCGGTCTCGGGGTGGTACGACGAACTGAACTGTAGCCTGGTCCCGAACTGCTCCCAGAGGTTCTTCCAGAAGTTGCTGGTGAACTTCGTGTCCCTGTCGCTGATAATCGATGCTGGTATCCCGTGCAGGCGAACAACGGCTGCGATGAACAGGCGAGCGATCTCCTCGGCTGAGATCGACTTTTTGCACGCAGCGAAGTGTGCCATCTTCGTCAACCTGTCAACGACGACCATCACCGCGTCGTTACCCCCAGGGTTCGTAGGTAACCCTGTGACGAAGTCCATGGTAACCTGCTGCCAGGCGCGCTCGGGCGGTGGTATCGGCTGCAATTGACCCGCCTTGCGCTTCCTCGAGCTCTTCATCACCTGACACGTGGGGCACGAGCCCATGTGCTGCTGCACGTCGGTCAACAGCTCCGGCCAGTAGTAATACCGCTGCAGTTGCTGTCGCGTTTTTTCTACCCCAAAATGTCCCGAGGTAATTCCGTTGTGTGCCTCATGCAGTAGCAGCTCCCTCAGTAGTGAGTACGCGGGTACCCAAATGCGGTAGGTGCCTATTTTTACGTAATAAACTCCTTTAGCTTCTGCCAGTTGCTGTGAATTTCCGGTCGTGAAAAATGGGTCGGTGCGGTATCCGTGGGTGAATAGGCCTGTTAAAAGCGGGTTGGTTTGGGCGAGTAGGATGGCATGAAGTTGGGCGGTAGGGCGGGTGAGTGCGTCGGCGATGTTATATGCGCCTTTCTTGTACGTAACCGTGTAGTGGAAGTTGGACTCGAGGTAGTCCAACCAGCGAATCTGTCGCGGATTGAGATTTGGTTGGGCGCGTAGGTACTGTAGTGATCGGTGGTCTGTCCGTACTGTCACGTCGGCGCCAGTCAAGTAACACCGCCAAACCTTGAACGCGTGCACGATCGCCAACATTTTGCGGTCGTGTATCGGGTAGTTGCGTTCGGGCGGGTGCAGCTTGCGGGACTCGTACGCGATTGGCTGGAGGCCGTTCCCGAAATCCTGCAACAGTACTGCTCCCACAGCGATGTCACTTGCGTCAGTGACGAGCTCGAACGGACGGTGTGGATCTGCGATGTGAAGCACGGGCGGTGAGCACAAAATGTTTTTGAGGGCCGAGAAGGCAGCTTGCTCTTTCTCCCCCCACGTGTACTCAACCCCCTTCCTCAGCAGGTCTGTCAGCGGGGCAGTCAGCTTCGCCATGTCGGGGACGAACCGACGCACGTAGTTGACGAACCCCAAAAAACTCTGCAACTCAGTCAAGTTGGTCGGCGCGTGCCATGCTTGAATCGTCGCAATTTTCTTCGGGTCTATTTCCACTCCTGCAGCTGAAATAACGTGTCCCAAAAACTCCAGGCGGTCCTGTAAAAACTCACACTTAGACGCTTTTGTCAGTAGGCGGTTCTCACTCAGTATTTTAAAAACTGCTTCGATGTCCTGTAAGTGCTGTGCTTTGTCGGGGCTGTAAATCAGTATGTCGTCCAGGTATACTATGACGCACTTATCTAAGAGCGGGCGGAAAGCTTCGTTCATGGTCATTTGAAAAGTGGCGGGGGCGTTGGTCAGTCCGAAGGGCATGACGGTGTATTCGAAGGATCCGTAGCGTGTGCGAAATGCAGTCTTAGGGCAGTCGGGCGGATTGACGCGAATCTGGTGGTAACCCCCTCAGAGGTCGATTTTCGAGAAAACCCGGGCTGTGCGCAGTTGGTCGATCAGTTTGTCGGCTCGCGGGATGGGGTAACGGGATTTGATGGTAACCCTGTTCAGTGCTCTGTAATCTATGCACATGCGAAATCCCCCGTCTTTTTTCGGTGTGAACAGAATCGGTGCTGCGAAAGGCGACGAACTAGGGCGAATGAATTCCTTCTCGAGCAGGTAATCGAGTTGCTTCCTCAGTTCGTCCAGTTCGGGCTGGGTCAGTCGGAACTGTCGCTGTACTGTTGGCTGTGCCCCCGGTTCTAACTCTATCCTGTGGTCGTGCGGTCGCTGAGGTGGCAGTCCCGTTGGTAAATCGTCCGGGAAAATGTCGCTGTACTGCTTCAACAGTGCTGCCAGATCACTCGGTACGTCGGCCACCAGTTTCTGTAAATCCCCTCCTTTGTCTGCTGCCTCGGCTTCCCGAATGTCGACCGCGTACACGTCAGCTCCTGCCGCTACGGCGCGTTTCATCGTGATCGCGTTGACACTCACCGACGAAGACTCAGGCGAGCCCCAGCGAGGTAAGGCGATGTTGTTACCGTTCACTCGCACGGTGCAGTCACCCGTCGTCCAGTCGATTCGCGGATTGTGTCGTCGCAGCCAATCACGCCCGAGTAAAATATCGGTTCCGTCGAGGGTCGTTGCGAGCATTTCCTGGCTAAACGTAAAGTTACCCCCACATCGAATCCGAACCCAGTCTACGCGTTCCCGTATCGTCAGCGGCGTGCCGTCTACCAGTCTTGCGTCGATCTCAGGTAAACATCTATCCAGTGGCAGTCGCGATTTCGTGCTATGGCAGTGTTGATGAGGCTGTGGCTGGCTCCCCCGTGTATGAAGATTTTTACTAAGTCCGTCCCAATTTTCCCACTAAGCAGTATGGGGCTGTCTACCGTAGTCCCCTCCTTATTCGGCCGGGTGTGGTCGATTGCGTGAACCGGCACAATCACTCGGTGAGGGTCGGTTGGGTCGGGCGAGCGGCGTGACCTGTCAGTAGAGGGCCCGTCTGCTACTGACTCCCAGCGTTTCCCTGCAGCTTGGTCTGTTTCTGCTGCTCAGCTTACCCCTTTCCCTTAGCGTTTTCCGGGCATTCGCTCTTGCGATGTCCCGGCCGATTGCACGCAAAGCAGCGCCCTTTGAACGGTGCGGCAGCGGCATTTGCGGCGACGGCACGTATCGTGGCGCCCTCGTTCGTCCCACGAGGCCGATGTCCCCAATGGCTGCTTCCGTAGGACCCCGGTCTCAGTCGGCGGAAGAAATCAAGTTTCTCCGCCATAACGAGAATTTCTTGAAAGTCGGTGACGCCGCGAAGCTGGATTTCCAGAGCGATGTCCTGCTTCAGGCCGCCGATGTAGCGGTCGATGCGCTCGCTCTCGTGCATATATCCCACCTGCTCGCATAGTGCCAGAAACCCGCTCGTGTAGTCTTGGACGGAACCGAGTTGGCGCCAAGTGCGGAGCCTCTGTCGCGCCGCGATCGAAGCCGCAATTGGCTCGAAACGAGCGCGCAGACCTGTGCACCACGCGTCCCACGTGCGATACTGGGGCACCTCCACGAAATACGACGGCGCCCAGGGTCCGGTTTGTCCTTCCCGTGTCGGTAGAGTCGCGTAGTCTAACGGCTTCGTGACGATGACGCGCCACCAATCCATGGCGGGTCCTCGCAGCAACGACACGGCGTAGCGGATTTTTGCCGTATCCTCCGAGACGTAGTTGGCGTCGAA